CTTTCTCTCTCTCTCTCTCTCTCTCTCTCTCTCTCTCTCTCTCTCTCTCTCTCTCTCTCTCTCTCTCCTTTTCTTCTTTTTGCTCAGTCAGCAAAATATTCGAACTGGCGCGACGCAACCGCCCGCATTTGTCTTTAATGGCTACTAACGTGGTTTCAGCTCTGAGTTCTTATATATAAAGACACTACATTAGTCTGACAAACATGCATTTCATTTTCTCATCCCCCAAAAGCATACGATTGAATATGCTAATTTCTTTTACTCATTAACTAAAGAAAATATGGCTGTTTAACTCGAAATAGCTTATTTGCGATTAAATACGCAACAATTATCTTTATTATCTAATAAATGAAGAAAAGGAGACTGAAAATAGTATTGAGAAAACAGAAAAACAATATACGATTCAGCCAGAAACACCATGAGGAGAGCACAAATGTAGTAGAGGAGTGAGAAAGAGATAGACAACGACTAACGCAGAGAGAAGGAATACAAGCAAATGATGAGATATATCCCAAAACATATAGTAACAACTGAAAATTAAGCGCGCGCAATGTTTTTGCTTTCAGTTTCTTATATTTTCAATTCAGAGTTGGCCAATGTTACGGAAAGAAAAAATAATTTGAAAGAAATGACAAGAGATGCACATGTGTGTGTGTGTCCGGCTTTGTTGAAGCCGACAAAAACCCGATGATGATGTTTCATATTCTTTCGCTTGATTAAAGATTTGAATTTGCATATTTTGCATATTGAAAAGCATTTTACAAAAAGGAAATGCATTATATTATGAATTACCAAACGTATTTATAAATATATATTTCATATATGGTGAGAGTATAGTTAGATAAATATGAATTCGGTTCGTTGAGCACAAGCTAAATGCAATATCTCAGCGTCTTAAACTCCATATTGGCAGAGTGAAATCCCATTTTATAAAACTAATTTTGATATTTCGAGAAATATTGCGGAGCTCAATTGATTTAAAGCGGAGAAAATATGATTTTGAGATTGAGAACAAGAATGAAATAGAATGTTGTTAACATACGTTTGTCATTATATCTTTCACTTCCTCTCATAAATAATGCGATAAATAGAATTATATTATGCTGTCACAACATAACGTAACAACATGCCATTTACAGTAACACGTAAATATAATTTATCATTAGAGCATCACGAATAGAGCATTCTCATTAGAGCATACTAGTAGAATATGAATAGTTATCAATGGGGTTAAATAATCATATTTTTCCATGAAATGGAATGAGAGATTCAATAAACGATAATATTATATTTTGCTGGAAGTATAGCTGCAATAAGTGCAAACAAACTTTTTTTCAAAGTTTTCTTGGTATACCCTGCTCATTCTATACTATAATATTCATTTTACATATTATATTGAGATAATATAATAGCCTGACGAATCTTTGGCAAGCATAGGAGCGAAAAGTTTAAAATTTCCCTGTCTATTCATTCTTCCTCCTACATTTTTTCGGACACTTGGACACTTTTTTTTTAAACTAATGAAAACAGATAGAGAAAGAGAAAAGCAATAGCAGCAAGTGTAAAAAAAGTTTTTGTACTTCTTTTAATGTTTTTCACTTAAAGGTTATCACCACACGGCTATCAGTGCTAACAATATAAGGTTTAAACAAACCATGGTAAACACAACAAAGAGGAATTTGCTAAGCAATATCATTATGTGTTACAAACACATTTCATAAGCACATTTGCCTCATGAAACAACATATTGTATTAATTCTCACAGTTAAGCTCTTTTCTCCCTCCTTACTTAATTAATCGAATTGCACTTATATGTCATCCTAGTGCTTTTGAGCATATCCAATAATAGAGCAATCAAAGTGCTTTTTTTCCTATTGTAACAACACTAATGAACATCTGCTTCGTTTTCACCAAGCATCATGATAAAGACTGACCGACATTCAGATGAAAGTTCAATCTGACCCAATTACGACATCAATTTCACCGATCTAACCTATTTTAACGATGTTGTGAACTATATTATAACATTTCTAGTTCATCGTGATTCCTTATTCAATTTGAGAAATAACAGGGTTGGAAAGGTACATCCCATAGAAACCTAGTTCCGCCTTTTCTTTTTCACTCTTACCCTCTCTCTTTCTGTCTATTTATCAAGATTCTCAAAATCATTTCATCAACCATCCTATACGATGAGATTTCTCATAATAGCCTCTGCTATATTCATTAATATAGCTTATGCCACGAGAAATGTATTTGTTTCATCGCCTTTCGATAATTTTCGGGTCGAATGCTCAAAAAGGGTATGATCGCTCATAATAACTATTTGAAACCTCTTTTTTCTAATCTTTTTAGAGTGCCGCTGTTGAAGTAGCTGTCTCAATGGTTCAATCAGCTGGTGGAAAGAGACAGGATATCGTTTTTGAAATGTCTTGTGAGAACGTAAATGAGGTATCACTATATACTTTGAATTACAAGTTATAACATGAGTTTCTTAAAGTTATATCCATGGGTTAACATGCCAGAAGGAATAAAAGAAAAAGAGAAGGAAGACTGCCATTATTCAAGCATGTTCGATCCCATCTTAGATACAAAAACAGAATATACATGCGCACCACGAGAATATATTGCCGGAATCGCCAGATTGACTGACACAAGGTATTGTCAGCGGAACAACAAGCTCTTGAGTTTCGTTTTTGATTCAGAATTCAAGTCATGTGCTGTCGTCTCCGTAGCAGAGATGAGTTTAATTGTCAAGAATTTAATTTCAACAAACCCTTAAGCACAGACAGAACAATAATTGAGTAAACAACCTCTCTAATTGTTCACCCAATTCTTTCTCATTCTTTTAGGCACGAAAATCAAGTTATAAATGCTCTGCGTATCGACAAAGACGGTATCGTAGTAAGGTTCTGTGATTTAGCTCCTAGATCCTATGGTAGATTTGGAGAAGAGAACGTTTATAATAACTCATTTTCAGAGAATGTGATGATAGATTACAAGGCCACACTAGAAAAGAAAGCGCAAGTAAAACCCAAGTACAATTTTTCTCAGGAAAATGATCATATCAAGATATTTCAGGAAATCTCCACCAAAAGTTAAAGTGCCCGTAGAAGCGGCAGTACCTACAACCCTTAATGAGTTCAAAAATTCTGACCTGAACGCTGCAGAGAATGCTGTCAAAAAAACTAAAGTCAATTCTCCAAAACCCTCAACAACAATATCAGCAATAACAACAATAACTGCTACTACTACACCATTCACAACAACTACATCTACTGCAACTACAACAACGCCAGTAACGACAACAACAACCACAACAACTACGACAGAAGCAACAACTACGACAGAAGCAACAACTACAACATCAACAACATCAACACCACCAACAACGCCTGAAACAACAACGGTTACAACCACATCACCTTTGGCTCCGGAAATTCCTGAGCCAATTGTTCAAGTAACGAAGCAACAGAAATCGACTATTCACGAAGGAATGAAAGAGAGGTAAACTAATAATGGGACGATAAAAGAATATCCCATACTTCCAGACAGAACAAGAATGATAGTAGCAACGCTGCCACTTTGAGTTCTTCGAACAGTAAGCGTTGTACAGATTTGGTGCTTACTATTGTAGAAACTGTTTTTCAGATCAATTTTCCAAAGTAACATTCAACAACAATGAATTCCCATCACTCTCTCAGAAAGACAGAAAGAAGATTAAACAAGAAAAACTCAATGCCTCAAAAAAGGTAATAACAATGAGGAGTTTCTATGTTTTAATATAAGAAACAGCATCAGAACAATGACTCGTCTGAATTCATTTTTATCCATCCGATTAACTCCAATGCAAGAAGACGTGCTCCAGTACGTCCATACATCGTGAGAATTCATTAAGAGAAATATCAACTTGAATCAATTTTCCAGTCATTGTGGTCAAGTGAAGAAGAAGAAATCGATGAATCTCGTTTCAGCACACCAAGACGGGAAAAGGTAAGAAAAAATGAAATATGAAAATATACTACTTGTTCAGATCAAAATTGTTCGACGAGTGGTTTCCAATAGAAGCCAGAAAAACGAATCGAAAGACCAAGAAGAGTAAGGTTAAAAATAAAAAATTGTTCATCATACGTTTAAGGAATTCAAAACTTGCGAGTAAGGAACAAAGGGATAATGCTCGGAATATAGATGAGGAAACGGCTAAGAGTCCATTCGATTTTGGAAGTACCGAAAACATCAATGTCAACTCTTTGATTGGATCTGGTCCAATGCTTGAAGACATCCTCCGAGGAAATATGGAAGATTCTGTTTATGAAAGAGTGAGTTATTACTTTTTCTTCGCTAGAATCTACACAACATTTTCCAGAGTAATGGATTATCCAATGCTCAAGTAAAAGAAGAAGAGCTTAAAGTAGAGCAAGCAACGACACCAGATGAAACTCGATTGGAGCAGAAGAAAGACGATGAAGAAGAAGCAGAAACGGAAGAATCAACTACTCAAAAGCCATTAATGGTTTTTGGGAGTGTATCAACCACTGTTAAGCCATACAACGCAGCTGAGTTCTATCATACCATTAAAAGAAAAGTGATAGTAAAAGAGAAATGTAAGTTTTCATCGATTATTTTAGTTTGTAGTCCTATTGAGAGTATGATATATAGCGTGATGAGAAGATATTTGAAAAATTGAAAGTCTAGTCCGGTTTTTACGTACAGTGGAAGAGTGGAAACAAAGAGAGCTAGCAACATGTTGGAATACAATCATTCCAAATACAGAAAGTGTAACGCGTGAAAAAATATTTTCTCATGATAGAAGGTATGAGAAATAAGTATGAGTAAGCAGTTTGAAAGGGTATGTGGGAGTGTTGAAAGTTTGGCTCTACAGTAAGATTATTGAAACATTAAGATCATGTTTCTAATCAACGTTTTTATTTGGGATGAATGAGCATTTAAAAAAGGAAAAAAACTGAGAGGAGAGGGAACAAATTAGGAAAAGAAATCCCATTCCCACGTGTATGTGGTGCTTTGACTGAATTTAATCAAAATTATGAAAAAAAAATTTTCTTCATATATGTTTTACAGATTTGACGTTTTGTACCAAGGATGTTGCATTAAGAGATGAACGTAATATGGTATTAGCTTGTGGAATGGAAAATGATATTTGGCAACCAAAACGATGTCCCGAAGGCACAGACTGTTTTCATTCAAAAGACAGCACATACAGAATATGCTGTCCAGTTGCTAGGGGATAAGCTGCTACAAATCTTCATGTTCCTCTATATTAAAACCCAGAAACCAATCAATCGTTGTTAAATTTAAAGTTATATATCATAAGATGTTATATAACATTAATACCGATAGTTATAATAATAAAAATAATAATAATAATAATAATAATAGTTTGATTAATAAATATATTATATTTGTAGATGAAAACTTCAAAATTATCAATTTTTCTTTACATTTTCGTTAGTTCACTAATCTGCTCCAATAACACTAAGGCATTTAGCAATACACTAGTGACTCATTCGTGTTAGGACCATATAGGCCTTAAAAAATCGATAAAAAAGGACGCTGTGCGCTATTAGTGAGTATTCTGCTAACTTAACTCATCAATCTGTAGTAGTCCGGCTAGTCATTGTTCAATTTTCATTCGATCATATTCAACATGGTGCTGCTATCAATTAAATTTCTAATGCTCTCTGAACACATTCATCCGTTGCTGGACAACGTTGTAGAAGAACTTAAAGATTTCGTGTTAGTAGAAGAATATCAAAAACAAATTAAATTTGGTTTGGTTCTTACTTTGTACTGACTAATCCTTGGAATCGTTTAGATGTTAAAAAGGACTGCTTAGAAGTGTCGATATCATTTGAACATTCTGAAGACCCATTAGTGTTAAAGTTTCTTGATGCTATAATGAAATCAGCGGAAAATATCAAAAACTGTGCATTTAGGTGCAGTTTAAGAAAGTTGAGCAAATATTTCGTTTATGTTTGCATTACAGATTGATGACCGATCCGTATGATCAGAATCCGATTCTTCGAAGTTATTCGAAGAGAAACAAATTGCCACGATGTTGCGAGACAGAAAATTCTTTTAATAGCCGTGTAAGATTAAATTTCTGTCTATCTTGACTGAGTTTTTAATTTCAAGCTATTCTTTCATGATGGAAATACTTATTTTGCACGATCCCTTAACTATGCTGATAATGCTGTATATCCTTTTGAACCTGAGTTGTGCATCTTGGAAGAGGCTGTCAGCAGAAGCTTCAAAATGGTTTGGTTAGATTGCTATAATTTGCATATTGTATTTTATAGAAACTGAAAAATACTCGTAACTTGCTGTATGGCCAACACCGATTGTCATTAAACGTTCCCGATCAAGTTGCATTTCTTATTAAGGAGAGACCTGAACTGCTGAGTTACGCGATAAGACAGAACAACAGTGAAGTTGAAGAAGAGGTGAGCAAGACTGTCCTTAGTTTTCACTTATCATTGTTACAGCTTATCGAGACGCTGCCTTGGTTTGATAACAGAACAATGGTTAAAACATTAGTCGTGGATAAAGATTACCAAGTTTGAATGAATGGATAGTATCAATCTTATGCACTGTTAAAGAAGTTGAATCCGATCGAATGCATTGATAGCCCAACTGACTCAATATCTGAACGAGCTGCTTGGGCTCTTTTCAAAGTTCTGGAAGGTTCCAAGTTTTCTAATATTTCACAGAAAATTGATCCGAAGGTATTAGAAGCATAATACAATTTTCATAATAGCTGAATATATATTTGCTGCAGGAATCATTCGAAGATGAGCGCAAAAGGTTCATAAAAGATGTACTGATGGGTAGGAAGCCAAACACATTGAACGCCCTTTCGCGTGCCTTCCTCTTAATCACTGAAACAGATAAGGCTGGTTGCAAAAAAATCCTTCTAAGTGAGTTTTTAAAAGAAAACAATTCAATCCAACTTTATGCACTAGTTTCACTTCTTTAAGCTTCCACTGATTCGGATGTTGATGAGCGTACAAAACCTAAGCTAAAAAAAAAGTATAAGAAACGTTTACCAGAGGAAATTAAGACAAAGTCCTGGAGCAAACAGTTGAGTTATCTTCATAATAAAGTTGAACGTACACGTTTAATAGAGTAAACAATGGTTTCACCAGTGTTGCCGGCATTCCTGAATTAGATGAAAGATTGAATTATGCGGAAGGCATAGCATCTGATGAAGATTCATTGGGAGATGACGAAGAAATTGATTTCTTAAGTAGGAAGAGCAACAAAAAAGTTTTGTCTCGTGATAATGAGAAAGTGAGATATGCATAAATTGAAATGTATTGTAACCGACACTTGAAGGACTTGAAAATACTGCAAACTGCGATGGAATCTGCAGAATTAGAAGAAAATGAGAGAGCTTGGGAAGAACTGCAACCATCGGCCGCACCTTTAGCAGAATTGATATATCTTGAAGACTATGAAGATTTATGAAGAATTTTCGAATACTTTTTTCTCTACTCTTCGAATAAACAATTTTATAATTTTGTAGTCTTGGCTTTGTTTATAGGCTGATCACCGTTGGGAGCGCAGTTTGAATAGAGTCAAGATATAGAAGAATTTTATGGGTAATGCATAATTCATCTTTCAATTATTGGCCACTGATGGGAGCTATCGATAGAATGAGTTAATAAATAAAATGAATCTATCTATGTGAAGTATTACTGAGTTCAGGATTACGTTTACTTGCATTAATTGAAATCGGTGATGCTCCTGCCCATAATTTCACAAGCGTAGAAATCTCATTTATATTAAGATCATAAAATGAAAAGGTAATATTCGAAATAAAGCAAAATTGAGGATAACGAGTTAAAGGATACTCAAACTTTGAGAAATGTCGAGCGCGAAGTTGAAGAGGAGAAAGAGAGATTTTTCTTTATGAAAACAAGAGTTGCATCTAATAATCTCAGAATCAGAGATCAATTGTTCAAATAATGAAACTTCATGTAAACTAGAGTTGGAACTTCTGATTCAACTGTGAGGGATGGTCTTGATATTAGCATAAATAATAACAAGTAAGCGAGAGAATGGTTAGCAAATTTAAGAGGCAGATAAGTACATTTACAGTTAAGTGGCACAACGATCTTCATAGTTGAGCTTGTTTTTTTTCAGGTTTCTGCTTGATTTGAAACATGGGTTTCTGTCTTCAGCTCTGAGTCCTCTTATTGTTTCTGTTATTCGCATACAAATTTTTCTTTTTTTTTTTTCTAGATGATTTCAATTAAATTTCTTTTGAAGTTCTTCTAGTTCAATAATATATATAAATTGAATCGTTTGAATTTTTTATACCTTACGTATTACATGTTTAAATTTGTTTTCTGTTGGTTATTGTTTGTCTTTGTCTTTGTGTTTTTCTTTTTTATTTTTTCTACTATCTATTCTCTTCAGGATTCTGAGGTCAGTCACCACCGAGATAGTAGTACAGGGTAGACAAAAAATCTTTATTATATAAAAAAGCGGAAATGATGAGTTTTTAAAGGGATTGATGACGATGATCAGAGTGGTCTGTATGTGAAGTTTACCAAATTTGATATTTTTGCTTTTTCCAATTCTGCTTCTTGTAATCTTTTCGATTTCGCTCTGCGATTCTGAAAATATATCGTTTATTAGTTTTCCTGCTATGTAATAAATTCAAAAGAAAAAGCCCAAAGAAACGATTGTTAATATCAAGAGATCTCACCTGGAACCATATTTTAACCTGTGTTTCTGTTAATTTCAATGAAGCACTGAATTCTGCTCTTTCGGCAATACTGAGGTATTGTTTGTGTTGGAATTTATTTTCTAACGATGTTAATTGAAAAGAGCTAAAAGGAGTTCGCGGTTTTCTATTATTGCGATGTTTCCTTAGCATACACCTATTGAAGGTCATTTGCAATCGAAGTTTTTCCATATCTTCAAAAAAAAAAAATACTGGTGACCCAGAAATTTCCATATACCTGGTTCCGAACAGTCTGTGCTAGGGCTTTTCTGAATAGGAATGTCACAGGTATTAGTCTTGGTAGTTTGTGTTATCTCAGCTTTCTTTCCATTGCTCTGTTCGAAAACTTGTAAGTAGTTTGAACTATCCAGACATCTGCATCAAAAATATTGTTTTTCTTTCCTATCTCTAGATACTCTTACCCTTTCTGTGTCAGAAGAGTCTTACCGTTAATACAAGAAGAAAATTGATTTCGTGCAGTGGAAAAGTAACTGTTGAAATCTAGCAGCTTAGGATAGATAAGACTGGCATTGAGCGTATTATTATTTGTAAAATTCGTGTTTGTATTGGCTAGAAGCTGGTCAACGCTGAAAAGCGACTTTTTGGGAATCCCTGTTGAAAACATTCTGAAAAGTAAAGAATCACTTGCATTGCAGCGATGATTGAGAAAAAAAAGTTTTTTTGGCGGCAACAATCATGGAAAGAGTTAAAGAAAGTTGTTATTCGTGGAAAACAGTGAAATTGAGATGACGGTAAATAATTTAATTAAATGATTAATTACATTATAAATCAATGCCATATCCAAACAAATACTATCGGTATATAACGCTCACAACCATGAAAATGACAATTAAAGACAATTTTTATTCTATTTAAAGGGTTGTTTTTGAAATTGAAGAAATAGAAGAAGAATTTGATGATAGGATGAAGAAAAGCAATGAGATTGTAAGTTAGATGAGATGATTTAAAGAATGACATTTTATTTTTGTTAATTTAAGCGTTACAGCTAATAGGTGACAGCATGAGGCTACGGTAGTAAAATACCAATGTGATTTCTTAATTTCTCAATATATGACTGAAAAAGAAGAAGCCGTTTGCCATTATTTATGCAAACATTGCCATCTGCGAAAGCGCAATCTTTATTTACGCATATACGCAGATGAGCATGATCACTTTGCTTAATTGGTAAGTGTAATGAGCGAGAAAAGGCTGAAGCAGTCCGGATGGGATGCTTTACTCTTTTCCTTTAAACAAGCTAGCTTCTCTTTACTCCTAAATTATTCCTAACAAAATTCATCACCGATAACAAAAGGATTGAAAACAGAAACACATTACGAAATGCTATATGGCATATGAGTAAATAATCATCTCACATAATGAAAATGGAGAAGCTTCTTGTGAAAGGGGTGGTAAGAGAATTGTGAAAAGGGTTAGAAGAGAGAAAGAATTCCTTTTTGTCTCTCTCTTCACCCATTCTCCTCCTCCTTGACTTCCCTCTATCCAAATTAGCCAGAAATATAATAGGATAAAAACGCATCTCCTTTTGACGCTCTCAATAATATCATCTTTGATGAGGGCGATAAATCAGGAAAGGAACAATATTATCCTCAAAATATTATAGCATAAATGAAATATAAGAGAAAAGAATAATTTTAAATTTAAAAAAAAAATATAATAAGAAGTGCAATATGAAATGACAGTTTGTATGACAGAATGTCGTCGTGACATACTGTCATAACATATAGACAAACTATAATATATACTATTATAACCAATATTTTTTTGGTCACGCACAATAATTACAAAAATAAAAAAAATATTATTATTTAACGCATTTCATTATTATTATCCAATTTGATTATTAACGTAATGAACGTATTTTTGAGGTCAACAAAAAATTATCTGAAAAACACATTTGTGAAAATACAAAATTCAAAAGTGACTATTGCTATGAAAGTAATTAGAAAAAGCAATAACTTTTGCATCATTTTCTACTTTTTTTTGTTCATCTATTCATTCGACAACAAAAAAAATTGAACATTAACAGTGCGAAAAGAGTCATCACAGCAGGGGATTCGAGAAGAAATGACTTCATTTCTTTGTTTTAGACAGTTGATTCATTTAATGAACTTGATATCGAGAGGAATTTAAACTCTCATACACTATGATGTACATGAGTGTTATTGGTTTTGATAGCAAGCAACATGATCTAAACAGATAATGTCAATCAATAATTCCTTATACAGAAGATGATCTTACTACATTTCATTTCATCTATGACATGTAACACCAATCACATATCATTTCATCATCAATCTAAATCAGAGTCAGAACAAAAAAAAGCAGAGCTGAAAGATTGAAAATCAGAGTTTTTGCGTAAGTTGAGAAATGTAGCTGGCAATATCTGAGAAATAAGGTAGGAAGATGAGTGTACATGTTGTGTGTCCCTTTGTTATCTTAAGCAATAGGCAGATAGCCAACTGTTCCCATTAATTTGAAGCAATTCATTAAACGTTTACATTTTTCATTAACACGTTGAAACAACAAAGAAACAAAAGTTTAAAATGCTTTTTCTTCAAATTGAATTTGCTTTTTCATCAAAATTAAGGATAAAGAGAGCATTTGTAATTTATTTGAGAAAACAAGATATTTTTGATAATGTTAAACAAAAGACTGTCTAATATAACATGTTAGATATTCTATCTCTCACTCACCAAATTGTAGTACTGCCAGATGACTACTAGACTCACTTAACACTTTGCATTTTTGAGATTTAATACAAAATTTTAATTGAATTTAAGAATATTTCAATTAAATATGTTTGAGTGTTGCTGCTAAATGTCCAACTTAATTAAGATTTTGAGGCATTGCTTGCCTATGCCTGCCATAGTGTATTCTTAAAGTAATAAAAATGCCACCCAATATCTTCTTTTCAATTCTCTTTGTCAAACCGCGTTTGTGTCTGTTAATTTATTGTTCTTTAATGAACTCCACTTCTGTTATCTATCTAAACAAATGTTGTGAAATGGATATACTAATTGATGGATTTGTATTGGGAAGAGAAGAGAAAATCAAATCAAACTATTGCCATCAGATAGGTGGTATTAGAAATTTTATTTTATTTTTCTATCAAAATGAATAGATGTATAGATATACCAATTGGCATTCACATATCATCAAAATCTATAAAAGAAGATATCAATGATTGGATTGTATAATGATGGTTAACATACGTTTTTCAATTTCTTCTATCAGTTCACGTTGAGCTCTTCGTAATTCCAACAATTGTTTGAGTTGGATCATCATAATGATCATAAACAGCACAAAAATCATCTAAATAAATATATTATATTATATAATTTAATAATATATCAACATTACCTTATATAGTATAGTTATGCAACAGGGGATACGTGAAGCAAGTTAGTATTATCAATAATTGTTAGTATATTAAGAAAATATAAATAGATCATAAATGGGATTATGAACATCATCAATAGGATTTACAAACTTAAACCACCGGAAATTTATGAAAAAGTAATTGTAATCCATTGAATGAAAATCATTTGTTAAGATTATAATGTATTTAGATGCATCTTATATGCTATCTATATCATATTAGTTAATGACTAAATGTTGTTGACGTCTTGTTTATGCTTTGAAGAATAAGATCATAATCAAATAATATGATGGAAATCTTCAAGTTTTTTTTCTTTTCAGGAAGGAAACAGTTCGCTCTTCTTCAATTTCCTTTTTTTGATTGGAATGTTGCCATCTGCTCTCATCGTCAATGGAAATGAGAGATGCGTGCGTAGTTCCTTTTCTATCTATGAGGGATTTTGGCAACAAAAAACACATTCACAATTGCATTTCAACTATATCAACGAATGAGCAGAGAAAATTAAAAAAAAGAGAAAAAGCTGTTTATTAGTATAATTATACGGAAATAAAGTATATAACTGTAGAGGAATAAATTAAGATGGGGTAAATATAAAGAAATGAAATTGGCAATCGTTTGGTTATTAAATACAAAATCACAATTAGAGAGGAGAAGAATTGATTAGATGGTACTCGGGAGCAATTAACGAGGTAGAATCATTATTTCTCACTTTCGTATTGATACTACACTATGAAATGATAGTATTAACATTGCAAAGAATGATAGAGATTGGTTTGAGAGAAGCTTATGCAACAGACAGTGTTGTTGAGAGAATATATTACTGTAATTCAAGAGAAACACGACTGCTGTGTGAATAGGAAATAGAGAGATAGGGTATACGGTATGAAATTATTAATAAGTATGATAAGAGATACATTGGGAATATGAATTATCACTCACACGATTAGAAGTAATTTGCATTATCACTTGTATGTTGGAGACAAGATGAGACAAGTTAGCTAAAGAAACAGATTAGAAGATTCAGATTCCCACCCAAAAGAAGGAAAATTGATGTGTTCATGTTCAATGTGAATGAGTTCACACCATTTGTTGTTGCGCAGCAGCTAAAGCACCATAGGTCTCGATTAACAAGCGCGCAGCAGTAGCAGATGACTGCAACACCGGATTGGTGACAGTATTACTGGGTGTTGCCTGGATAACATTATATGCATTGCTTGTAGTTGGTAGACGCTCAGAAATGCTTGCAAAACGATAAGTCTGAAGAGATGATGCTTCATCTTCTTGAACTTGACGTTTATATTTATTTCTTCGATTTTGAAACCAAATCTTGACCTAATAGTAAGAAGCTGATAAAAAATTCTTTGGATAATAAGAGAAACCTGTGTTTCTGTAAGCTTAAGCTGTTGAGCTAACGTAGAGCGCTCTTGACTGCTCAAATAACGCTTCATTTCAAAGGTCATCTCAAGTTTTGACACCTAAATGTTTGGGTGTAAATAAAAAAAATGCGGGAAAATTCAAACCTGAGGTCGACTAAAAACAGTGCGCGTCTTTTTTTTGCGATTTGGATTGTTGAGATCAATGATCAGACTGTTGTCTTGGCTGTCATCACCATCTGATGATTCTATATTGATTAATTATATTATATGTTTATGCCATGTTATTTGATTTCTTACTTGCAATTTCAATTCGATCCTCATAATCTTCATTATCTGATGCTTGTGGACTACTACCCAAAGAGTCTTTGCTGCTTTTTGAATGATCTTTTGTTGATGATTCAGACATGAAATTATCTGTTTGACCTATAAAATGAATAGTAAGATATGTGTTTTGGAATAATGATGTAACTAATTGTTTTCATTTTTGAAAAGACTTATTGATGAACCAACTCATGCAAGCAATTCTTATGGTTAAGCGAAAACCAATAATCTTTTAATCTTTTTTCTAATTAAAGTTTTTTCTGTTTGTCTTAACTATATCCACAATAATCTTTGCAGTTTGAAATAAAATATTTCAATTTCATTACTGTGAATGCTTGATTAAGCCTTTCGGTTGGTTGGAGGTTAAGAAATAAACAGAAAAAATTTTTTTTTATTGGAATCAAGAGCTTGAAATATGATATATTGGCTGGATATTAAGAATCTGCCTCTTTTGGGTTGAAGTGTCATTACGGGCTTATGACAGATGCAAGAAAAAAGAATTTAAGAGGCTCCTAATCTCTATGGTTACCTATTTGAATTGTTTTTCATCATAAATCATAATTTAAACTTCTTTATTGCCTCTTAGCGCTCATTGACACTGCTTGGAGACTTTTATGTGACACGGTAACTACTTTCGCAAACTGTCATTAATAGTAATTGGTTTCTACTTCTCAAAGATCATAATCTATGTTTCATGAAGATTTTAAATGACTTAAGTAGGTAGTATACTATTGAGATATGAAATCTCCTCTCATAGATGTATTGAACTTGATAGAAAGCTAGCTAGAGTTAAATGAATGTATAAGTATAAAGCAATCACCTTTGATTTTTTGCTGATTCTTGGAACTGAATATGTTGAGCCAGGGAAAAATAGACATAGGAGTTGTTTGAAACGCACTAGGCGCTTGTAAGTTGATTGGATTTGAAGATTGTTGTCTCATCTCATTCACATTTAGAATAGGAAAATGCGGCTGTGTTCCATTGCTACTTTCGCCACACATAGCAGCATTAGATGCTGATGTAATGAACTGTTGGAAGAGAGCAGAGAATGATGCTTGAGAATTGAAATCCGTATTTTTTGGTAATATATTCAAAACAGAAATGGGATCATGCTCAGATGCATTAATGATATCTGGCTGTCTTGAATAGAATAAAATGAATAGAATGAGATATAATAAGAGGCTTAATACCTTTGATTAGAATTTTCCAAGATGTCCATTATTCCAAACTTGCCTCTGTTGAGATCTTTTGTTAAGTTTTGACACAAATTAGCTTCTGGCGAATTGGCCATTATCAAATTCGTCTTTATTATTATGATAAAAGAAGATGAAATATGAATATATCTGTAAATAGAAGAATGAGAATTATTCGTGTATGCGTATGTGTGCGTGTAAGTGTGTATGTGTGTGTATGTACGTGTATATAAGATAACTATAACATATAGATTAGGCAATTGTTGTTTATGAAATATTACAAAATAAACTAATTGGAATAATAATCATTTTATGAGTTAATTGAAGCGTTTTAACAGTATAACTTGTCTGTCACACTCTCGAATCTTTCAATTTTTCAAATCAACAATGGCATAGATTATATCTTTACAAAAGCCGAGATATATATTTTGCATCAGAGAAATCAAATAAAAAGAATGATAAGAGACATGTAGTTGTATGAGGGTTAACTATATGTGATAATTAGAACAATATAATATAATTGAATACTGATCAGCAATGAAAGAAATGGTTTTTTTTGTATTTTCTGTCAATCGAGATAGCTAATTGTTTCCTCTAGCAAACAGAAATTACAGCAACTAATTGAAGAATATTCCTCAAAAAGGGGGTGGAGTAAGTAAGAAAGAGGAGAGAACGTTAAATGGATAATTAGTAATTGTTTTGAATTAAAGTTAAATATGAGATGGAAACACTATGTAGCTCCGCCCTTTGTCGCAGCTTTTTTTTGTTCTCTTTGTAATCATCTCAACCTCACCCTTTCACCTCTTTCGGGTTCTCTCAATCCAATAAGATGAAAAGAAGATGTGTTATGTAAGAATCTGTATGGAAAATTGAGAATAATTCTTTTTTTTTTGTATGTGTGTCTGTGTGTATCTTTCATTTTTTCATCTTTAACACAGAAACATATACACAACTATAGCTATAGATATAATAAGGATAATGAGATACCGTATACAGCGCTCCCCTCTCACCCCATTCATTCTTCTAACAAGTCGAACAAAAGAAGATGACTGCATTAAGCTTTCGGTCTTAGCTTTTACTGGGATAAACATGATAATTGAAAGCTATGTAACGCACAGCTTAACTGTATACGATTTCAAGGCAATTTTTGGTGTAATGAATGAATAACATGAGACAAAAAATTGAAAAAAAAAAAGAAAATGAAAGAAAGAATGGAATAGAAGAACATGTTCGCAATTGTAGTTTCTGTTAAGTCTAGTAATGAACTAATTTCTTATTTTATTTTTGTGATGCTTGGCTACAAAACATTATCTCATCTTCCTCAAACTATATATAAGAGAGAGAAGAAGAATGAATAGAAAGCAAAAACTCCTTTCTTCCGGATATATTAAAACAGAGAAGATGAGAGATAGAGAGATCACGAGAGGGTAAAAGAGTTCTGTCTTGCTTTTTTCTATTAATTTTACTCGAAAAAATAATGAGAACATCCACTTTTTGTAATTGTTAATGAAGGTGCGACATCTTTAGCAAAGAGGAAGGGAGGGCTGAGAAGAAGGGGGGGGGGAGGAAAATGAAAAAAACTAATTAACAGACATCATAATTTAATTTATAAATCAGTAATTTATTTATCAAAGCCATTTTTTTTGTCTTTTTTTATATATTATGATATGCCTGTTTCGCACGAATAACTCCCTCTTTCCTCTCTGTTAGTTATGAGATATATGGATGAAATGAAAAAGAATAGAGAGAGAGAGAGAGAGACAGAGGGAACGGAAGTATTGAGATAGAGAGAGAGAGAGAGGTAAATATCAAAAAAATGAAATACAAGAAAAGAAGAATGAAATGCAATGATTTGTGAAGAATCAATTGAATAAGTTTAAATGGGGAAACAGATAGATTAGACGCCTTAACTATAAGACATCGTTTTTAGTTCAAAGTCTTTTAGTTTATGTTAACACACACATACACACATACACAATCATGGACCTAATTCGAGTTTTCATTCTAAACAGAGTGTTTGTCTTTTACTCAGATAATCATGTTATCTATATTGAGAAGAAGGAGGGAATAGGAGAGGGGATTGAGAAACCATTATTGCGATAATTCGAATCATTGTTGTTCTTTCATTAGGTTTTTTTTGGTCGTTTAAGAATTAAAAATGAACTGCTTCAATAAGAAAACGAGGGAAATGATGAATGAAAATCCTTTATGGGGAATAGACTGTTAGACTCATCCATCCCTTCTTAATCTCTTACATTTGTGTTATCTATCATTCAGCTGTCTTGTTTATACTATATTCTGTCCTCTATATCTCTCTTTTCCTCTCACACGTTGAAATCCTTATAGTATTTGTAGAAGATATTCTTATAATGCACATAATTAGTGTTAAACAACTTTCTCATGAGGCAATGCAGGTCAGATATGCTATAATTGAAGCCGCATGAAGCAATGATGTAGTGAAATATAAAAGAATTATCCTCTTTCATACAAAAGATTCTTATCTCTTCTATTATTTAATGAAGATCAAAGTAATTTTTGATATGGTAACTTGAAGAAATAACAAAACGAACCGTTTAATTAGTTCGTTTATTTCTCTTTCTTCTTCTCTTTCTCTTTAGCCTTCACTCCTACTGTCGCTATTCACACCATACAACAATAGCAATATGAAGCCGCAATTATAGCGATTACCTAATATATTATCTTATTATTAGATGTAAATACAGTCATCTCTCATCATACACTCTATTTCTCTTCTTTCATCTTAATCTATGCTTTCATTCTCTTTCACCTCAATGGCGGCATCAACTGAAGATTGTGTGTGTGTGTATGTGTTTGAGAAAATACATTTACAAAAGCAAAATAAAACAAAGAGTTTGCATTTCTGTAAATATGGTTCGAACTATGAATAGAAGTTGTAATAATGGGATAATGGGATGATTAGAATGTTTAATGGCATCAGATTCTTTTTATGATCTTCATCCATTAAGGAGCCTTATAGAGAGAATGGGGGGTTGAGAATAAGGTTATTCTAAGATAATTACCATCTATACATATCTCATATTGCTTAAGCATTAGGGATCACACTTTACGTTATTGCATGAATATCACTCTATTCATATTGACTAGATGAGAATGGCTAGTAGTTACAGTCATCTTAGATTCATATAGTATTGGACTTCTGTAGGGTTATGAAAGCTACTGTGAGTATAGTTTCGAGATGAAGCAATTAATGAAATGATTCCTAAAGCTGTGAACTATCAAATTAAATGAGAATTTCCATATGTTGATATGAATTGAGATATAAAGATATTTAATAGAGTAATATCATAAGAAGGACTTGATCTGACCTTAACTAGCTGTCAATAAGATATGCTTCACTTTAAATCTGTAGAGAAAAGACTGAATGAAAGTGATTGAGAGAGAGATGAAAGGACTAGTGAGAGTATTCATTGACGATCTTTGTTTTTTCATATTCGAATGAAATCATAAAGAAAGGTGAATTTATGAATAATGTGGTTGAGATGAAATGATTTAATGTCGGCAATTCATGGGTTGCTTAGGATTTTGAAGATTGCCATTCAAGAAAATGGCTTTTTTGAAATAAAATTTTATTCATTTTCTAGTAAGATTATAGAGGAGGAGAGTAGAGGATGAGAGGGATGTGGATAATAAGAAGATACTTTGGTATATCTATTAGTTAACAAATGATATTTGATGAAAATGAAATGTCGTTGTTTGAAATATCTGTAAGATGGTAATGGATGAAATGAAGAGAAGGGGGAGAAGAAGAAGAGGAAGGATTAGAAGAGTGTCAGACTAAGCCTAAAAAAAAAAAGAAAAAAAATGTGCTAAGAATGATGATGAAATTAAAATATATATAAGAATAAGATAGATGAAAAGATCTTATTATTGTACAAATCTCTCATTATAGTATTAGTTTATTCTATTCATTATCGTAGTCGCTTTATGCATTTTGTCATTCCTTTCATATTAGAAATGAAATCTTAAATTAAAATTATTTTATTTTTCTCATTTTGAGCACAATATTCTGATATTACTATTAGTTGTATGATGATGAAATCTATAGTCTGTTTTCTAATATATTATCTTTGAATTATAATAATTTCTTGAATATAGAAGAAGGGTACATAGAGAGAGAGAGAGAGAGAGAGAGAGAGAGAGAGATAATGACAAGATATTAAGAATAGTTAGTTAGTTAGTTAGTAAGTAAGAAAATGAAAGATATATATTGTGTATGTGTGTAGTGTATGTATATTTGTATCTATACATGTGTATATGATGATGATGATGCGTCTCATCGTTAATAATTATTATTATGAACATCATTTTTCATTTCATAGAAATGAAACTATCATTTTTGAGGCATAAGACAACAATACGTTGGAAACAAAAGGAAATTTGCAAATCTTAGAGAAAGAAGATTGAAATAGATGAAATGACTATAAGCTATGAGTTGTAAGAATAAGAGAATGAGATTGAAAATTGAATGAGAATGAGTATGAATCAAGTTATATTAAAGAAGTCAAAAACTTTTCACAAAACAAGGGAATGAGGGATAGGAGTCGATGATTAAGAGAGTCAGATTGAAAATATATTAAAAAATATTTTTTATCTATATGTTATAGTTAATAAATGATATAATATGTATCTTAGGTTAATCATATAAAGAAGTATGAAAATTCAAATCGTTAGATGATACAGTACTCACATAGATATTCGTTGTTAACATTAATAATTTGATATAAATGAGTCAAACGAAAGTTTATAACGTTCATGTCATCATCATCATCATGAGCTAACTACAACATTCGAATGATTCATATAATCAACTAACGCCTTTTGAATTAATATAGTCAGCTTTCTTATTGAGATCATTGACCATATGTGGTGTGTCTGTATTCATGTCTATGTTATTCACACTATTCAATTCCGATTATTATAAATGCTCATTTAATTTATATAATGTAACATATTTTGATCTTTTCATGATATTTATAAGGTTAATTGTATTAATAGATCTCTCTCTCTCTCTCTTTCTCTCTCTCTTACTTCAGTCATATGCATGATGATGGAAGCTATGAATATCCATCTATATGATTGAAAACTAATTTACAATATTATTCCATTCTCATACTATCAATTAGACATTTCTTTTTCTCAACAATTTATTTTCATCTCAACTTACATCTCAACGCTAATTATATTGAAATTTCCATATAGATTGTTTTACAAAGTTTTAATTTTGATTTTACTTCATTATTTCTCAAAGAGAGCAAAGTATTCATTTCATCTTCTATAATCTAACCTCTCTCTCTCTTCCCATTCCCCTCTGTTTCAATTCATTTTCATTTTCCCATGAAACTTGAAAATATATGGATTTTGAGCGCTTATTCTTTATTGCATCCATGCAACCGTCTATCCATGTGGTGCACATTCAAGTTTTCCTCTCTTTCTTGACATTAGATACAAACCAACATCATTTTTCCTTTTTTTTTTGGTTTTTGCCTTGTCTCATGAATCATATTGAAGCCAACAGTGTGTTTACGTATTACAGTGTCATTTGACTTTGAAAATAAAATAAAAAATGAGAGAAACCGTTCAATGTATGATTCTAATCGTAAATATGTTTTTTTGTCTGTCAATTGATTGTAACAAATTTGTGAGAATAGTTTTGAAAACATCGCACAAGACATGTTTCAATAGCTTCATTCATTTTAATTAAAATAAGATTTGTGTGAATATGAATATATTATTTTCTTATTCTTCTTATATGCTCATTGTGAGCATTCAACAATCTCCTATATGATATATGGATTTGTGTATAAGTTATTAAGATAGAAATGTCATATTTCTCTAATTGCTATGCTTTGTTTCATGATGTAAAGACCATATGATGAAATATTTATTGATTACCATGTACACACATATCTATCTATATCTCTATATACATTCCATTTTGAAATACGCCAATCTCATTTGAAATAGCAATTTCCTGCCATTTACTAGATTTTAATGCTAACTAAGCTTATTCACAGCTTCTTCTAGTCGAGTATTTTCATTCTTTTCATAAATCCGTCCACCCCTTTATTTCAATATCTGCACCCCCTTATTCGATTTTATACTTTTTGTGCGCAGATGAAATCTTCAGTGCCGTTTTGGGTGTGGGGTGGGGGTGAGAAATTCGATTCAAAACGTTTCTTTATAACATCTTGACCTTTTCATGTTTGTTACAATCGAATCTATTTTATATATCCCTTCGTCTATTACTCTCTTCAAGGTGTGTTATCTTCTGACATGCGTGACCCTTTAAAATATCGCTATAATTAATTTCCGCTAACCTTTAGCGGCATTGCATCAACAAATTCATTCGCTTCCTATGACCTCTATAAAGGACATTACCTTTTCCAATTATCCAAAAGAAAAGTTCCAATTTGCGAAATAGAAATAAGAAGTTTCATTTCATTTCATATATGGGTAGATAAGAAAACGAAAACTTAATGACGTAGATGGCTTTTTTTGTCATTAAGTGTCTGAATACAGTTTAACAATCAGTTGCAAAAGCGTTATTGGAATAGAAGTTGCATCTAGTTTTCATTTGCAAGAATAATTTTTTTTTCTCTCTCAAACAAAACGAGAAAGATAAGTGTTACAGAGAGCATAAGAACAGCTTTGCTTTGTTACCCTCTTGTAAGACTTCTTGTGGTGTGAATCGATTGTTTCAAGATAGATAGATATAAACAAAAGCCAGATGTCGACCTCCTGTTTCGTGAATGACGATGTGTGTGAGTGTGAGTGTATTGCCGTATTAGACTAAGCTCACAGCTTGATTTGTTCTCATCTCGACCCCTTGCATTGTCTATAATTAAGAAATGCACTCTGGTTTATTTCGTAGTTTCCTTGAGGCCGTCAATTGGCTGACCACCAATAATAAAAGTCTAATCTGATAGGAAAATAGATATTCCGAGAATGATTGATTAAAGAAGATGAATTTTGTCTCTCGGCATGGATAAAACATTCTGATTAACCTTCAACATGATATAATTATATTATAAATCTATATAGATAATGTATTTTCCCTGATATATTACATCTCTAGATAGATAGATATATATATATACATATCTGGGTGTGTGTTCAGAATGGGTGGTCCATTATCGTCATTGCATTCCGTATTCGCCAAAAAATCGAAGAAAATGTGATTGATGAACGGTTGTGATATGGTGTGATATCGTTTTCTATGACATGATGCAAAGGGATATGTCATTGAAGTGATATTCGTACACAATAAATGAGGTTGGGGTGTTAAAATTTCTCTCCTTTTCTGTATCTTTATTGAGATTTCTTCATCGGGAAGTTGAAATGACAGTATAAGTGCATGTGAACAGATACAATTGCCTGAATATGTTCTCATGTAATGCTTGAATTGAAATATTAAACATCAATAAGCAAATTAGATTTGTGGGAAGAAAGATAATTTATATAAACAATCGGAAAACCATCTGGCTCCAGTGATTCTCTTGACCTCTTCTCCTGTTTATAGCTTTTGCTGATCCAAAATTATTCATTATTCATATGGCAGTTTGAATTTCCCATCCATAGATTCTATATGGTAAACATGTAATTATCCTATGCCACCGAGCTCGGTAACCGCTTTTGAGAAGCAATTATGACGAGCAGGTGTGCTAAAGCCCATAAGCTGGTCTGCACTGGCGCTCAATTTATGCATGCAAATGGCTATTGCATGGCCCAACTACTCATATCGATTTGCTTGCCAGAACGGCCATTCACATTCACAAAGAGCGCGCACATGCTGCCTAGAAGCAGCGTTCTCATATGAATACATTGTTTTCTCACATATTTCGTCATACTTTCGCATAATTCATATCTAATGTCATTTTTTTCAGGTAATTATGGATAGAAGTAGATTAAAATTGAAGATTGAAACTCCAAAGGAGCGGAAAGATTCTAAAAGATCTAGTGATAAACCAGTGTCATCTATCTCCACAGAGGATAAAGAGCAAAAAAAACCAGAAGGCTTGGAACAGTTTCAATGGACAAAGGATGACACCGAAACTGAGCAGCCGGGTCAATCCAGGTTAGTCATTTATAAGATAAAAAAAATTGGAAAACGAAGAGCTACTCTCTGAGTTTTTAGAGAAAAACCGCGCAACAGGCATCGTATTGTTTTTCCTAAACCTAAATACGACTATACCAATCCTCCTGAAGATCCGGCCAAAACTGCAGCATTGTTTGCTATAGTTCAAGCACAAAGGCCAGACTTCATGAAGGAATCGTATACAGATGAGCTCAAAATGTTTTTGCCTCTTGACGGAGATATGAGTCATGGCCCTGATTGTGATAATTTTATATCTCTCCATGATCAAAAAGTCAATATAATGTTCCAACGTAGTATAAAAGACTATGAACGAAAAGAGAGAATTCGTCAAATTGAGTTAGAGAAAAAGCGACCACCGGCTAGAGTAGAACCGATTCTACAGGATTACGAGAGACTTAGACCTCGATTAGAAAAATATATGGCTGAACGACGAAGACTTGGCTTAAGTGATAAGATTTTTGAAGAGCTTCCTAGTATAGTCCCTATGACGAAATCAGTTGGTTTATTAGAGCCATCTCCTGCACTTATTAGAGCAAGGCAACTGTTACGCGAGAATAACGAGGAATGTGAACGTAGGAGAAAAATCAAAGAAGAAAGAAGGAGACAGCTGGCTGCCAGGAACGCACTATTGAACAACGAAAAAAAATCAGCAACTGATGTTCTTTCTGAGAATCTGAAAAAGCCACCCGATATTGATGCTGTAACAAAGAATGGCACTGATCAACCTGATGAAGAACACAGAAAGATTCTATCTAACGGCTCGACAACTAGTGGAAGTCACATTAATCGAATAAGTGACAGACTGAGGAATCCAGAAAGCGCTGATGATTCGTTGAACAACAACTCAAACAGTAGCAAAAGCAACAGTCTCACAAGTCCCATTCCTGCTCATATGGAATATCAGCCAATTAGCATTGTTGTTCCTTCTAGTGAAAACGATGTTACTATGAACGAATTTACATCTAGAAAGAAAGAAACTGTCTGCCAGCTAGTTCCATCAGAGGAATCGGATAGCTATACAGTTCCGGATAGCGATTTTGTTGTTAACTGTGCTGGGCCTAGTCGCAGTAGAAGCAGATCCAGCGGCACTGTTCCCGATAGTGATGAATCTCCACGAAGAGCCATAGCGCCGGATAGGAACAGTTTCAAAGCACCTGATATGAACCGAAGTCGTCGACGTAACGCTGTTGTGGATATGCCCCTGACATCACCGCTTCTCCCACTTGACCATCTGACTAGATCGAGAAGTAGTGCGAACGTCGAAAGACAGGATTACCAAGCTATGAGAGATAGGAAACGACGTAATGCTCTTCTTGATTTTCCAAAGGAAATCCCTCTTCATCCAATCGACCAAGATTCTGATCGCGATTCGTATAGAAATAGTCTTATGGACATCTATAGCCATAAGGAAATACCTTTATCTGTCATTGATCCTTATAACAAAGCCTATCAAAAAAGACCTACAGCTGAAAGACATCAGCAGCAGCATGATGACTACACTGATTTCGATCTTCTCAAAAGTGATCCTGTTCTTTATCGTGAACAGCTTAAAGAACTAGAGTATTATCAAAATTTGAAAAAAACCACCAACATGCAAACAAGCCGTTCTCAAACAAGCATAGACATGGAAATTGATGTGGTTGGGACAAACTCGTCAACGATCACAGATTTTACATTCAACAACCCTAGTACGTCGTCAGCATATTCTCCGTTTGGTCAATTCAAAAAGGAACCGTTCGCCGAATTGCCAGTTGTCATCCCGCTAGAACTTGTAGGAGAAAAAATGAATCCAACATCACTGAAAAGTGAACTGATGGGGCTTGTCGATGACAGCAAATCAAGAGATTCAACATCCACGGACTGTTCTTCTGATTCTATGTGCTCACTTCCCACACCCGAAGAATCATTATTGACTCTTCAAAAAAAAATACTCGAACAAGCGTCTTTAAGGAATGCTTTGACTGCACAACAAGCTTTACAAGCTCAACAAGTCTCTTATTTAGAGAACTTCAATACAAATCTAAAAAATCTTGGAAAAATTGGCATCCAAGCAGAACCTGAAGAAGATTCCCCAGCAAACCAGTTGCCCGATAAGTTGAAGAAACCATCCATGTCAGATGCAGGTCAAAACCTAGTTAATGGTCAGAAGGTCAACCCATTAGCCAGTATCAATGTGAAAGAAATGAAAAATATGCCTGAGCCTTACACTTATGAAGAGCCAGTTGAGTTTAATGGTCCCTTCCGAAAATGTCTGAAGACTATTCCTTGGTATGACATAGAGCAGTATTTGGAACACTCTCCAACCAGCTTCAGAAATATGAAAAAAGCTGGCTATAGAGTTCCGGAGAAATTTGACGAGCCTCCTCCTCCAAAAAAACCATGGAAAATGAGTCGTGCACTCAAAAGAGAGTTGTTCTATGAACTAGTCACTTTGATGGAGCTTCAGAAGGCTAGAGGCGTTCCTGTCACACCTTTTACGGGATTAACCTCAGACGAAGAAGAAGAGGAAGAAGAACCCGCAAAAAATAAACCAGAGAAACCTAACGAACAAGAAAAGGAAACGAAAGGCGAATCGAAACCGTCTGGCTGGAACGCTAACGACACCAATTTTCATATTGCGTCCCAGCCAACTCGTTTTGAAGAGATTGGACAAATCAGTATCAAAAAACAACTAAGCGTCAGCCGAGAAGCGACGGAGAAGCATTTCAAGAACAAAAAAGAAGCTCATACCCTCAAATCTAAGCCTAACCATGCTTGTTCGGTTCTCAAATCAAAGTCGTTGAATAATAATGTCTACCCATCGACATCTAAAAAGAAGGATTCGAACGGTGTTTTAGTCAAATTGAAAAAATCGAAAAGCATTGAAGAGTCATCCCGCCGAAAAAGTTCGAACGAGTTCAAACATCCAAACAACTGTGTTATGCCAATAGGCGTTAAACGGGATCAAAGCACTAGCCGCCGTGGATCCGAAGAAGATGATAAAAACGACAAAACTGAAGAGCCTTCGCCGAAAAGACGCCCCCCACCTGTCATTCAAAGTACGTTAGATGATGAGGACGCTTATAACTCGTTTGATTTCGAAACTCCCAACGCAGTTGAAATTAGGAAGGAGAAAAACACATTTTATGTGCCGGACGAAGATAGCGACGACGATATGGATATCGAGGACGACCTACCGGAACAAAAACCCCCACCCGTAGTTCTCAAACTCAAAAGTTCTCTTAATTCAAGAAAAAGATTAGAATCTTCAACTAGGAATCTAACAGATGAAAATTCTTCACATGCACGAAAAATTCGGGAAGAAACAAAACGTTTAACTAGAGAAGATTTATTATTGACATCCTCATTAATAGGATCAAATAATAGCAAATGTTGCAGAAATGCAATTAGTAAGCAGTCGTTGGAACATGAAAGACAGCCAATGGAAGAGATGCGTTTGGAGAAGCGCCAAAAATTATCACATGACGAGCCAGACATCAAAGTTAACGCAGACATTATCGAGCGCACAGCTGTAGCGATTGGAGAAAACAGACAGACATTGTCTGGCCTAGCAAAACCAGAACTAATTCTGGAGGTTGCCCAACAATCACAATCAAGGAATGTTTTTGATGTGGCCAAAACGATCAAGGCCCTCAAATATTACAAGAAAATTCTAAAAATGGTAAAACTCGATATTGATTACTTATATAACGGCTCTAATCGGTTTCAGGAATCTGCCTCTGAAATGGGAGTACATGAGAGTAAACGGGACAACCCTCGAGTTTATGTAGAAGAAAGTGGTACGTTTTAACAAGACCTAAGAGTTATAATGGATACGTCTTTTCCAGAGACATTTCGAGTTAGAAAGGAAGCCCGATATGAGCTAGGCAAACGGAATATTGAAAAAACCAAATACGTCTGGTCGCACGAGGAACTGGTTGAAACGCTTCAGAAATATTTTACGTATTTATCCTTTTTGATTCAAGGTATGTAATTTCACGCATTTCCAATGCTATCATTGGTTTGTTATAGGAGTACTAACAGGACTGCTGTTAGGTGACACCATTTACACGTTTTCGTTTGAAAATGAGGTACTGCTCGAGGTGTTTTACAGTATTGACAGATTTATTCTTGCAGAAAGCCTTTCCAAAAGATCAAGCGTTAGCCTTGCCATTGAACTCGGTCATGTGTGCTGGTTGCACTGTCGCTTGTATTGCCGTTTTGGATATGTAAGTTAATTAAATGAAAGGTTGCTAATAGCAAAAGTTGTTGGCATTGGATAACATCTTTACTATCTAATATGAGCTATCTATTGTTTGCATCATAGTATTAAGATTTATGACATCAAATGGAGACAATATATTGAGATATTATGTATTTATATCTCTTTATTGAATGATTGCTGTCTCTGATATATGATGTTGCAATAATCTTCTTATTTATTGATGCCAAGATTCGGTAAAAGATGTTAACGCTGAGCACTTTGAATGCTGCTTGCGTGACTTGAGCTGCACAGATAGTCATCGGCCTTTTGCGCTCTTTTTTTGTTGTTGCAGTTGCTCTTCTAAACTCAAGGTTACAGATTGACTAACATGAAGGCTACGGTAGAGAACCAAGCAAAACGCGAAAAACTAATAGTAGCATTAGCTTTATGGATTGTAGCTTTAACCACATCAGCTTTATCAATTGCTTCTGATGAAATATTATCACCAGTTGTAAGAAATTCACTTACATTATAGTACTGATCCACATCATTTAAAACAGAACGAAAGCGCACTGGATGAAGAAGGACTCCTGTTTCGCAAATTGTATTGCTTGACACGCTCTCTGTCAGCACTGGGTGCGTGGGTATTCATCACATACGGAATGGAAATGAAACGACCCAAAAACGAAATAGGGTAGGACGCATTGAAAAGTTGCGAACATTGTACTTTCATTTCCTTTTTAGGGTCAATGCTGATGTCAACCAACATGTTGCAGACGAGCTGGATTGAAATTCAAACGAATAAAGAACAAAAAGACATCACAAAAACTGAAATGAAACTCCAAACAATTTCTTATTTCAATTATAATGAAACCTTTTTTTTATTGTGTATGTATCTCACTGTGCTGGTCGCGGCATGTTTATGCAATCTTGTCTTCCATCCAATTACATATTGTTCCAACATATTATATCCAATGACTTATGCTTTATCTAAATGACGTGTGTTGTGTCCATATTTAATCTGAAATCTGTAATAAACTTTGTGTTGTCCATTATCGAACAGACCTCGTTTAAACTAAATGAAACATCTGAGATATATGAATAGCAGTCCGGTCATGCGGAAACTGTCAATGGCCATTGTCCATGTACATTATTAGCAGTTCATCACCAACACAGATCACAAAACCCATGGAGAAAACTGTTTATCGTTGATTCGTCACTATAAGCCAGCTGATGTCCGACATGATTTTGTGCATTGTCTAGATGAAAATTTATAGAAACCATCTTGTCGCTCACTTTATTCTTATGCTAATACGAATTTGTACATCTATCCACATTCGTGTTATTTTGAACCCTTCACTTCTCTTCACATTTCTTAATCTAAAAACTGTTGGTATATTTACCCTAAGGTATCAAACAATTGGCAACTTGTTTGCTTTCACATTGTCCGAACTGGAATTATCATTTTCTTGTTTCCTATTAGTAAAAGATAATAAGCACTTGTAGATATCATTATAAACTAACCAACCATCTGACCATGATGAACGACCGTCGTCAACTTTTATTAGGATTACTAAGATAACTTGTGTTGTCTGGATACGAGATACTAGTTCAAATTTGAGCAATTACATTGATCAAGTCTGAAAATTTGCCGCTTTTCTGTTCATTAGAAGATAATTACCGGTTATCAACTGGTCAGTCGCCTTTTAGTTTTCTTGTTGACAAACAACAACAAAACAATTATATGATGAATATGTTTTGTACAGTTTCTGTTTGAAACCCATTATTCCATATAGTTTTCCCCATCATTAATTAATTGTTTATTGCGGTTTTCTGAAAGAATTTGCATTTTTCTCTTGGATTAACCTTCACAACATGAGGAAAGAACAGTTTGCTGATGTTTCAATGAAAAACAAGGCTGTTTACCTCAATTTTCAATGTATCGTTTCATTGAAGATCCCCCACAACTTTTTGCTTTCTCATTCGACTGTCCTCACAATTGACGTTCAATTTGCCCATGTTGAATTGAATTTGTCTGAAATCCCTTTCGTTTATCATGTGTCAGCGTATTTAAAGTAAAGAGAGGAAAGGTGACATACTTTCCACTTTTTCTTTCTATTCCATACTGTTCTTTTGTTTTGTTCGTTACTGTAAATAGAATGTTATTTAACTAGAATCATCTACTTCCTACCCACTTTCGATGTTCTCCATTACAAGTATACAGGAATCATTTATCATCCATCAGAACCTTCACTTGTTCATGTTCTCGTTCATGTAGGTGTGGTCATGAATCCCATAACAAGGCTTTTTTTTCTGCTTTCTCGTCGTTCACACTTTGTCATCCAACAGTTTTACACGTGGCACTCATGTTCTTACTCGAAATTGCTTTTTTCTTACATCTCGGAGACTGGGTCAAAAACTACGAGTATGCAACGTTGAATTTCTTTTTTTCTCATTCTGATGACTATCTTATCGGCAAGTTGAAAACCATACAGGCAGATCATGACACTCGCTATGTATGACAGACAATCTCTTCCAATCTACGACCTTTCTAATCTTTCGTAATCTGTTTTTTTCTCTAAATCTCATCTCTCATCATAGATTTTCATCACTCCATAGCTAGAGATTAAAAGAGAGATGGAGAAATTGAAAGGACGGGTCAGTCAGCGAAATACCGTTGAAGGCGGGGATACGTGGACTCTCGACGTGGCTGCCGAATATGACCTTGGGCAAGTGGCCGAGCTAGGTACGCTTGGAGGTCGAGACAGAAAAGATGAAAGATATAACGATGTTTATGAGATGCACAGACTGCAAAAGAGCGTTTGTAGAAAACCTCGATTGCGCATATCGGCCGCCTACCTTCCTATGTCCCTCCCCCTTTCAGTTTTCTGGCCCTGTCCAGACCAATGTTGTCGTTCGGTCTTGTTCGGAGCGCCGGACCGTATCCTGAAAATGGTGCATTAGCCGCCTCACCCAATTCCCATTGCCACTCATCTTCTTCCGAACGGTTTCGCTGTTAATGACCACCTACGCATTTTTTTAATCTTTTTGTAAAATCTTAGCCACCCACATAATACTTAAGAGCATCACCCACTCAAAACATTCCCTCGTTCTCGCTCATTCCTTTTAATTATTACAACTCATAGATCATATCGCTGAGCGCAGAAAAAAGTTTCATTCATTCTGTTTCTTGCAGCAGCGTAGGACGGTTACTTGTCATTGACAAATAGCCCCCAACGTTGTTCCCATTTTTCAGAACTGGTCAAATTTTTTTCTATTTTATCTTTTCTACTCACATCTACTATTTGGCCTTGAAAATCATCTCCTTTTTCTTACGCAGCGTTCAACTCACATTTCTGTCCTTTTCGTTGTCGATTGATCATTAACCTCATTCAAGTTGCGAACTTGACCTTTATTCCAATTTTTTCCTTTCTCAGATATTAACCAGCATGAGCAATAAAGAGCAAAATCAGCCTTTCTGGAAGACTCAGGACGATATTGTTATTTCCGGAGTATCTGGACGTTTTCCACGGTGAGTCATATTATTTATTAGGTCAATGCTGAACATGAAAAAAAGAAAGATAAATCTCTATGTCACCTGTTCCATTTCAGATGTGAAAATGTTGATGAATTCGCGGAGAAGCTGTTGGCCGGGGAAGATTTAATAACTGAGGATGAACTTAGATGGCCACCAGGTATCTTATATTTACCAGAAAAAGAGGTCATTCCAATCCTTTGTAGGATTTTATGATCTTCCTAAGAGACATGGAAAGCTGAAGGACTTGAAAAAGTTCGATGCTCAATTCTTCTCAGTTACACCAAAGCAGGCCAATTATATGGATCCTCAAATTAGAATTCTGCTCGAAGTCACTTTTGAGGCTATGATTGACGCTGGTGAGCCATTTGAGGAAAAAAAGAGAAAATTTGCTTAATTCATTAATTTAAGGAATCAATCCATATGACTACCGTGGTTCTCGTACGGGAGTCTTCGTTGGATGCTCTGGTTCTGAGACTTCTGCTGCTCTCACCCAAGATCCTGAAAGTGTTACTGGTTATTCGCTCACTGGGTGTGTTGGAGCGATGTTTGCTAATCGCTTGTCCTTCACCTTGAACTTGCAAGGACCATCATTTTCGGTGGACACAGCGTGCTCCAGCTCTTTACTTGCTTTACAATTAGCAGTTGACTCTATTCGTCAGGTTCGAGCCTAAAAATGCCAATTTTCATCAAAAATCTCATTCAGGGTCAATGCGATTCTGCTATTGTCGCTGGATCTCATCTGACATTAACACCAACTGTAGCTCTTCAATTTTTGAGACTTGGAATGTTAACCGACAAAGGAATGTGTCGCTCATTCGATGACAGTGGAGATGGATACTGTCGAACTGAAGGAATAGCCGCCATTTTTATTCAACGCAAGCAAAAAGCTCAACGCATTTATGCAACAATTGTTCATGCAAAGTCCAGCACTGATGGATACAAAGAGCAAGGAATCACATTCCCATCAGGAGCTAGACAAGCTCAACTCTTGGAAGAAGTTTATAGTGAAGCTAATATTGATCCAAATGACGTATATTATGTGGAAGCCCACGGAACTGGTACTAAGGTAGAATTTAGCGAATTTACAAGAAATTAATGATAATACGTATTTCTAAGGTTGGAGATCCACAAGAAGCAAACGCTATCTGTCAAGTATTCTGTTCCAACAGAAAACAACCACTTCTTATTGGATCTGTCAAATCAAATATGGGTCACGCAGAACCAGCCTCTGGTTTATGCTCTATCGCTAAGGTTCGCTTTTTTTTGATGAAAAAAAAATAACTTACATGTAATCATTGCAGATTCTTCTTTCTATTGAACGTAGACGCATTCCACCAAATCTTCACTTTGAAACACCAAATCAATATATTCCCGGCTTGACCGACGGTCGTCTCAAGGTTGTCACTGAGCCAACTGAAATTCATGATGGAGCTATTATTGGAATAAACTCCTTCGGTTTCGGTGGTTCAAACACTCACGTCGTTCTTAAAGTAGCGGACCATCAAGCTCAAGATTATCCAAAGCCATCTATACCTAAAATCATCACTTATTCTGGAAGAACTAACGAAGCCATTAACAGCGTTTTCGAAAATGTCGAAAAGAACGCCGATAACACTTATCTTCAAGCTCTTCTTTCTAATCAAGCTGGTATGCCACCAAAAGACTGTCCATTCCGTGGTTACATGCTTTTATACCGTAATGGAGATGCTCCAGCTCTTAAAGACATCCAAAAAGTGGGAAAATTATCATTTTTCAATAAATTCTTGCCTTATTCAGGTCAGCATCACAGAATCAAGACCAGTATACTTTATTTACTCTGGAATGGGATCCCAATGGCCAGGAATGGCTCAAAAGCTCATGTGCATCCCAATGTTCGATGAATCACTCAGAGCATCTAGCAAGGTTTGTGTTGATCTGAAAATTGTTTTTTTATCTTCCTGTTTAGTGCTTAGAAGAGTTCGGACTCGATGTATACAAAATGCTTTGCAATTCCGATCCTGAACAATACAAATCCAACACTTTGAATTGCATGCTTGCTATCACAGCTATCCAAATTGCTCTCACCGACCTTGTCTACGCCCTCGGTATTACTCCTGATGGAATTATCGGTCACTCCACTGGAGAAATGGGTTGCGGATATGCTGATGGAGCAATCACCAGAGATCAGACCATGCGTCTCGCTTATCACCGTGGTACCACCATGATGAAGCACAAAGAAATTAAGGGAGCTATGGCTGCCGTAGGATTAACATGGGAAGAAGCTACCGCTCAGTGCCCAGAAGGTGTTGTCCCAGCTTGTCACAATGGAGCTGACTCTGTCACCATCTCTGGAACAGCTGAAGGAGTGGAGAAGTTAGTTCAAGAGCTCACTGATAAGGGAGTTTTCGCTAAGGTAAAAGCTAAACTGGAGAAAATATCAGAAAACTAACTTTTCAGATGGTCGATTCATCTGGTATTCCATTCCACTCCCCAATGATGGCTCAAGTCAAACAACCCATGTTGGATGCTATGAAAGTAGCTGTCCCAGAACCAAGACCACGTTCTTCCAAATGGATTTCTACCTCCATCCCAGAATCCGAATGGGAGAGTGACTTGGCTGCTACCTGGTGAGAATAATCGAAAAAAAAACAACTCCTCAATGATAACTTTCAGCTCTGCCGACTATCATGTCAACAATGCTTGTAGCCCAGTACTCTTCTACGAAGCTTTATTGAAAATCCCAGCCAACGCTGTCACCATTGAAATGGCTCCACATTCTCTTATGCAAGCAGTTCTTCGTCGCTCTCTTCAAAAGACATGCACAAACGTTGGATTGATGAATAGACCCAGAAGTGAAAACGATAATGAGTTCGAGAGCTTCTTATCTGTAAGTGTGAACAAGTATTATAGCTTTAAACTAAGTAATTTCAGTCTCTTGGTAAAATTTATCAAGCTGGTGTTAATCTTCGCCTGGAGAACATTTACCCAGAAGGTCGCTACGAGGGAGTTGTTCCTAAGGGAACTCCTATGATTGGACCTATGTGGAAATGGGATCATGCCGTTGACTGGCCAGTAGTTGACGGAAGAATGATCACCGGAGGAGCTGCCGGATCAATCCCAGCTTCTGCCACCTACAATATTGATCCATTCGCAGCTGATTCAAAAGAAGCCTACCTCCTTGACCATTGCATCGACGGACGTGTCTTATACCCATTCACAGGACACATGGTTCTTGCATGGAAGACGCTTTGTAAACTGAAAGGAGTTGATTTCCAAAAAACTCCAGTAATATTTGAGAACATTAATGTTTATTCCGCTACCATCCTTACCAAGCCAAGTGAGTAGTTTTGCCGTATGTCTCTTCTAAAAACATAATTTTAGTCAAGCTTGATGTCATCCTGACCCCCGGAAATGGACAGTTTGAAATCATCTCTGATGAGCAAGTAGCTGCCTCGGGAAGAATTTATATCCCAGATGATGATAGACCATTCTATTACCATAACTGGGAGGAAATTCGTACATCAGAAATTGCTGATCGTATTGAACTAGATACTGAAGATTGCTACAAAGAATTCTTGTTACGTGGATACGAATACGGACAAGCATTCAGAGGAATTTTCAAAACTTGTAACTCAGGAGAACGTGGATACTTATACTGGACTGGTAACTGGGTAACTTTCTTGGATTCCCTCCTTCAAACCGCTCTACTTGCCGAAAGGTATGATAAATTTGTCATCAAAGCTAATGCTTTATAACGTTTTCAGATCCGATACTCTTCGTCTTCCAACCAGAGTTAGACATCTTCGTATCGATCCAGTTAAACACTTGAACTACATCGTCGAGAAAGATGGAATTCAAGTAGTTGAATTGAGAAATGACCACGCCACCAATGGATGTATCGCTGGAGGAGTGGAATGCTGTGACCTCAACGCTCACACTGTTCAGCGTCGTCTGCAAACTGCTGGCCAACTTTACTATGAGAGGATTCATTTCGTACCTCATCAAGATGTTGATGCTTTCTCTGCTAAGGAATTCAACAAAGAAAGAGATACTCTCAAGCAATACAAAGCCTGCTTAAAATATGGTTAGTATTTTTTTCATTAATCTGAATGAAAGAATTCAAATTTCAGTCATTGGACAAGGACTTAACAAATGGATCAGCAGTGGAGGAGACCTCGACACTCTTTCCAATGGAAGCCGCCTCAAGCTTGTAGCTCAATCACTCAAGAATACTCCTACGGTTGAATCATCTGTTGTGGAAAGATTTGTTGGAGACTCGCGTTGTCCAGTTATCCATAGTCTTGTTGAGTTATTCAAACTCAACTGGCCTGCAGCTGGTGCTGCCGACTACAGTAGCTTCCCACAAAAAGTGTCTGCTACACTTGACTCGGTTAAGACTATTTTTGACTCTGATCGTCTCTGGGCTGCTGCTCTAACTCAAGATCGTATCTTAAAAACCGTCCAAGATATCTGCTTCGAAAACTCTGCTGGACACAATATTAAATTCGGTGGAGTCGAACTTACTTCTACTGAGCAGCTCAAGCAGCTATTGGACTCATCCAACTCTCACCCACTTCTTGAAGTTGACTGCGTTTGCGTTGGACCATTGGTTGAACAATTAGATGATAACACTCTGGAACAACTCGGAGCTCGCAAAGTCAAAGTTGCTATTGATGAAAACTTCACTGGACATGGTGATGCTAAAGGAAGAGATTATCTTTTGATCGATAAGATCCTCAATAAGAAAGAAAATCCTGTTGCTTTCCTTGAGAGCTGCAAGCATTTGTTACGTGATGATGGTATGGCCATCGTTGTCGAAGTTACTTCCGACTACGAAATTGCTATGACCATTCAAGGATTACTCGGAAACGAATTACCTACTGCCCAAGGAAGAGAATATGGATTATTCTACAGCCATGAGCAACTTCTCAAGATTTTCGAAGAAGCTGGATACAAGCTCTGTATTTTCCAACAAGACTCATCTATGATGAGTACCGCTTACATTATTCGCAAGGTTCCAACATCCGAGAGAGATCCAGCATTTATTGATGTAGATGACATCAAAACCTTCGATTGGTTGGAGCCTCTGCAAAAACTTATTGAAGAACGCCTCAACGAGCCTGATGACAAGACCATCTGGTTAACATCTACCAAGGATAGAAAGAACGGAGTTGTAGGATTGTCATTGTGCTTCGTAGAAGAAAATTTGAAGAACAACCGTTTCCGTTCTATCTTTGATTTATCTGTAAAGAAAGAGAACAGAGAGGGACCAGCCAAACTTACTCTCGAGCAAGATGATGTCAAGAGAATCGTCGATCTTGATTTGCACGCCAACAACTATCGCGATGGCACCTGGGGATCTATGAGACATTTCGTCGTCAAGGAAGAAGATGCCCACGTCTACAAACAATGCGAGCATGCTTTCATCAACACACTGACTCGTGGAGATGTTAGCTCATTGACTTGGTTCGAATCGCCAAATCAGTTCTTCCATGCCATTGAAGGACGTAAAGAATCTCAGGAGTTGTGCTCTGTCTACTATGCCGCCATAAACTTCCGTGATGTCATGCTTGCTTACGGACGTTTACCACCTGATGCTATTCCTGGAAACTTTGCTGATCGTGAATGCTTACTCGGCATGGAATTCTCCGGTCGTTTGAAGAATGGAACTCGTTTGATGGGAATTTTGCCTGCTCAAGCCTTAGCTACTTCCGTTATTGTTGATCGTGATTATGCATGGGAAGTACCAAAAGAATGGACTCTTGCTGAAGCCTCGACAGTTCCAGTTGTATACACCACAGCTTATTACGCCTTAGTTTGCCGTGGACGTATCAGAAAGGTTTGCTTTGTTATATTAAACACCTAAACATCATTTTATTTAAGGGAGACAAAGTTCTCATTCACGGAGGAGCCGGAGGAGTCGGACAAGCAGCTATTGCTGTTGCCCTCAGTTATGGCTGCGAAGTCTTCACCACAGTTGGATCTAAGGACAAACGTGAATACTTAAAGAAGAAATTCCCACAATTGCAAGAACATCATTTTGCCAACTCCCGCTCAGCTGATTTCGAACTCCATATTCGCCAACAGACACGCGGTCGTGGTGTTGATGTTGTTTTGAACTCTCTCGCCAACGAAATGCTTCAAGCATCACTTCGTTGCTTGGCTAGACATGGTCGTTTCCTTGAAATCGGAAAGGTTGATCTGGCTCAAAACACGGCTTTGGGAATGTCCAAACTCCTGGATAACGTATCTATTCATGGAATTTTATTGGATTCAATCATGGATCCAACTGTAGGAGATATCAGAGAATGGAAGGAAGTCGCTAGACTTTTGGGAGAAGGAATCGCTAACGGAACCGTTCAACCACTCCCAGCTTCTATTTTTGGAGCTGATAAGGCTGAAGAAGCTTTCCGTTTCATGTCTGCCGGTAAACACATCGGTAAAGTTGTTATGGAAATTCGCGAAGAGGAACAATCAAGAACTTCTCTTCCATCAAGCATCTCTGTCAATGCTATTTGCCGTACTTTATGTCATCCACAACACGTATATCTCATCACTGGAGGTAAAATATCTTTTAAAATGTTTTAATAATTCAATAATTCTCATAGGTCTTGGAGGATTCGGACTCGAACTGGCTCAGTGGCTCATCAGCAGAGGAGCACGCAAACTTGTTCTCACCTCCCGTTCTGGTATCAGAACTGGTTACCAGGCTCGCTGCGTCCACTTCTGGAGAAGAACCGGAATTTCCGTTTTGATATCTACTTTGAACATTGCCAACAAGACTGATTCTGAAGAATTGATCAAGCAATGCGAAACAATGGGACCTGTTGGAGGAGTTTTCCATCTTGCTATGGTTCTCCGTGATTGTCTATTCGAAAACCAAAACATCAAGAACTTCCAAGACGCCGCTGAGGCTAAATATTGGGGAACCTTAAATCTTGATGAAGCCACGAGAAAATTATGTAAGAAGGACCTACGCTGGTTCGTTGTATTCTCTTCAATCACATCTGGACGTGGTAATGCTGGACAAACCAATTATGGATGGTCTAACTCAACAATGGAACGTATGATTGAACATCGTCGTGAAGATGGATACTCCGGAATGGCTATTCAATGGGGAGCTATTGGTGATGTTGGAGTCATTCTTGAAAATATGGGAGATAATAACACCGTCGTAGGAGGAACTCTTCCTCAGAGGTAATGAAAAATTAATAATGAAAAAGTTAACACTCATACTTCTAGAATGCCATCATGTTTAGCCGCTCTCGATTGCTTCTTGAGTTGGAATCATCCAATCGTCTCATCATACATCAAGGCTGATATGGGACAAAAGAAGGCCGCTGGAGGTGGTAACCTTCTCCAAACAATCGCTCACATTCTGGGAGTAAACGATATTTCTCAACTCAACCCTGACGCCAACTTGGGAGATTTGGGACTTGACTCCTTGATGGGTGTCGAAATCAAGCAAGCTCTTGAGAGAGATTATGATATTGTTCTTTCAATGAAAGATATCAGAACTCTTACCCTCAACAAACTCCAGCAAATGGCTGAATCAGGTGGAACCGGAGGCACTTCCCTTCAATCTACAGAATTAGACATGAAGAAGGTTTGTTATAGTCTAAGATAATATTAATCCTGAATAATCTCATTCCAGCAAGGAGAATTAGAATCTCAAGAAACAACCGTTGAACAATTAGAAAAACAAATGAATCAGTTATTCAAGATGAGAGTTGATGTTAACGATCTTGATCCTCAAGATATAGTTGTTAAGTGCAATAAGGTAATAATACTTATTCATATTCGCTAGATTTTAATGCTTCGCTATTCAGGTTGACGAGGGACCACTCACTTTCTTCGTTCACTCCATCGAAGGAATTGCCACTCCATTGAAGAGAGTTATGACCAAGTGCGAATTCCCAGTTTACTGCTTCCAATCCACCAAGGACGTGCCACAAGACTCTATTGAAAGTGTTGCCAATTGCTACATCCAGGTAAATTACTTTTATGTGAACCGAGAAATAATTGAATAATAATTTAGGAAATGAAGAAGATCCAACCTAAAGGACCATACAGATTAGTTGGCTATTCCTACGGAGCCTGTATTGGATTTGAAATGGCTTGCATCCTTCAACGCACTGATGGAGAGAATGCCGTTGAGCGCCTCATCCTCCTCGATGGTTCTCATCTCTACATGCAAACATATAGAAATGTAAGCTAACATAAGAAAAATAAAGAGATACTTACTCATGGTATTACAGGTCTACCGTATGGCTTTCGGTGTTACTGGTGATACCCTCGTTAACAACCCACTCTTCGAATCAGAAATTATGTGCGCTATGACATTGCGTTTCGCTAATGTTGATTATAAGAAGTTCCGTGTTGAGTTACTTCAACAAACCGGATTCAAGGCTAGAGTTCAAAAGGTCGTCGACACTGTCATGACCACTGGATTATTTAAATCACCTGAAACTATTGCATTCGCCTGTGAAGCTATGCGCTCCAAATTCCTTATGGCTGACAAGTGAGCTGAAACTATAAGAATATAAGTAATTAACCTGATTGATTTTTTCAGATATACTCCAAAGGCCAAGTTCAATGGACACATTACTCTTCTCCGTGCTGAACAAGGTGCAGCTCGTGAAGAAGATGTCGGACAAGATTACGGAATCAGTCAAGTATCTGAAGATTCTAAAGTTTTCGTAGTAGAAGGAGACCACGACACGTTTGTGCAAGGCAAGAGCTCGGCAAAGACAGTCGCTATCATCAATGAGTTGATCAAAGAAACATATCGCCCTTAAAAAAGCAATTAATTAATTATTAATTCAGCGACCTATAATAACAACAGAGTTGTTGTTTGCATTAGCCACAAACAACATGTGCGCATATATTTCTATTTTTCCATTTTAATCCTTTTCTGCCTCATACGTATGATTTTTACTTTATGATTTCTCATTTTTGCTTGCCTTTATTTCGACTGGTGTCATTTCGATTGTGATTTCCGAATACATAATAACTGGAATATTATATTATGCTGACATAATCTTATATGATTAGTTTCCTTTGCTATTACACTTAATCTGAAATTATTCATATACTTCACTTCTTCTTTTTTCCTGAATTATAATAATGATAGATGTAATATTTCGATTTTATGTTTCTTCCTTATCCAATATATATCTTGAAATTGATTAATAAACATTCTTTTTGATAAATTCTAATTATTAGCAAGGCTCAAGCAAGAAAGAGAGAGAAGGATAACGAAATATAAAGACATGCTCAGGAGAGTTGTAGACAGAAAATTCAACGACATGCTCAAAGATAGATTCATTCATCATGCGAACACTAGGATCAATGGAATGATTCAATATGATAAAAAGATTAGTTCTTTTGTTTCGTATAAATGACTCGTGTATGCTCGAGATATCCTGTTTTAGGATGAGTTGCTGTCCTCATCTCAATAACTTGTTCCATATACCTGTCATCATGTCTTAAGAAAGTTCTGCGCAACTGAAAAAAGAAAATGGCTCAAATAATTCTTACTTGCTCAAAATTCAAAGTATTACGTCTTCGACAGGTAAATCTCTTGAGAACGATATTCTTCCAATATCCTTGAGTGTCAGAACAAGTTTGTTTGGAGATGCATGACCTACTTCATAAGTGGTAAAACCTTCAATATAATCAATTATCTTGAATAACAACTTAAATATCTAACTGACTGACCATTATTTCCGGCTGTCATTAACGTTACATTTCCTATTTTGTCTGCAGTCAAGAATCCCCATTCGTCATGAAAATGGTCCTTTGTAGAATGTGACCATGCTCTAGCACTTAAAACAATACAATAATGTGACTTCCGAATCTCTTTTGGTTCATGTTCAGAAGCGGTGATGTGTAGACGTCTCTGCTTTATGATGTATATTCATAGTGACGACTAAATGTTCTTTCACAAAGAACGACAAGGAACCGGTCACGGTTTATAAGAAATATTTTCAGTTTTTCGGAGTGGATGTTTTAACAAAAAAAGAAAGAAAAGATCACAACTGAGCTTGCTATGCAGCAAGCAAAAAGGGTAAAAGGTTGGCAAAGTTTCATGCAATACGTTTTCATCGATTAAGTGCTTTCAGAAATGATTTCATTAGGGTTGAAACAGATAATACAACTTACGTGAAATTTAAGAACTGCGTGTTGGCTGATTTAGCTATTGGAGCTTCGTTTATGATGAGCTCTTCTCCAAATGTCATGGTTGGTACAGTTGGCCAGAAAACCTAGACAAAAATAGTGATAAACTGTGTAAAAATGAGAAATTACTTTTCCGGAAAACTCAGATCTCCATTTGCCAACAATCCATTCTATTCTTCGATTATTCTCATTGAGCTCCTGTACTGATGGAGCAATGTTGAAAATAAAAATAAGTAGAATAGAACTGATGACCAGCATGACCAGTCTATATAATACGGAGAGAAATTAGCGAATGTTTTTAGATCTACTGGACAGCTAAGACAGGTCACGCATAGGCAAGCCAGATTAGCGTAACTTGTGACAGTGTAACAGAGAAAAAAAGGAGATGAACATGAAAATATTGTACAATATAGAGAGACTTAATGTGAGATACAGCAGAACAAAAAAACTTTTCCCAAATCGTGAAAGGGCTGAAAAGAAATGAATGGAAGATATTTCAAACTAGAATTATTCTAGATAGAAACAATAAAATACGAAAATGAAAGAATTGATTTTAAACCGGTTACGATGAGCGAGAAATGAGATTTTTCCTTTTTCCTTAATAATTCATCATGTCAACTTGAAAACATGGTGAGATCATCTACAACTTCTAGTGATCGAGAAACGGTGATCAGCGAAAAAAAAGAAAAGAAACATTACATGTTCTTTTATTTTTTTTCAATCCAATGATTAATAATTGATTGACAATGAAGAGGATAAAGAACAATCATATAAACAGGAAATACATTTGTTAGCTTCACAGTTTAAAACAAAAACACAAACCTTCAGGTATACGGTAGCTTCATCATACAGTAATCTCGGATGTTGTTGGCATTTCACACAATATGCAATTTATAAGCAAGTGAGCTGAATAAAATGGAATCCATGACAACTATATTGGTTAAAGTATTACTTACGTCTATCCACATTGTGACAGCTTCCTATTCACTATATTGTTGAAAAGTGGTAAGTACCTATAGCTTATTCTAAGTGAGATTGTAATGAATACATAGCACACATCATACATAATGGTAAAATGGTAATGAACCTTAGCTCAAGCCGTTATATTTGAAAATGAGTTGACATATTCAAACAGCATAGTGCTAACAGAGAGTTATAAATGAGCATAGCTATGTCGTACAAAGTATATACTTGTTGTTTGGCGCCCCAAGCCCTTTTTTTGCCGCCATCCCACGCCCCCAAAATCAAAACTGGCGCTCATCTAGGACTTCAAACTACAAAAAAGTTTTTTAAAAAATATTTTTTTGTCACTCCCTCTAAATGACAACCACCCTGATTTTAGTAAAAATGGTTTTGAGATCATCATTTCTTCAAAATATCTTTTATGTGAACTATATTTCTGATTAGCGCAGAACCATCAATTACAGCTGATCAAAGATTGAATATCGCACTTGCGCAAATTTGCTCATTGTTTCTTTTCCATCACATACAAAAACGTTTTTAGCTAAAAACTTCTATTGCTGTATATAGATGATTGGTTGTGTTTCAGTTGCCAAACTCAAATACTTCCATCAATGTCCTTAATTTGTTAGTTAGATATGTTGATGTTTCTCCACGTTATTATTCTTCATTCTTCCATCATCCACACATTTCCATTTTATATTCTTGTCAAAACTATATTTCCAATAAGCTTCATCATATTCAATCTCTTCATGTTGCCATTCGACTCGACTTCTGAATATCTAATTGAATATATGAGCAAATCCACATTCAATCCTTCTGTAGATGATCAAAATTATTCATTTTTTTATTAATCAAATAGATTTTTTAACGAGTTAGTCAGTACATTCATAAAGTATAAATAGACTAGAACCCGTTTTTATGATGACAAATGGATACGAAAAAGTTCTGACTCCACCTTTCATTCATATTTTTTTTCATTTTCTCATTGTTAGCTGTTTTATAGATCATATAATTAGGTTAAACAAATTGTTAACCTGTAACAGCTTTGGTATACAATCCCACATCGTCACTGACTCTAATACCACATAGTTCATCTCAAAATGATTGAAAGTTGTTATCTGACAGCTCTCTGATCAAAAATCTCAGCAATAGAGTTTTACCAATCAGAAAAACCAAAAATCTGTTTCTTATCCTTCCCCTTTCTTCCAAAAGTTCTATTGGTACATTAACAGACGTCTGTCAATTCGAAAATTCTTACTTGGACTTGGAAACTTTTCCGTTCAATGCCTAAAGTGCCAAAATGTGACTTAGATGCATATCTTAACCGTATAAAAAACTGAACTCCTCCCTAGAGCCATGTTAGCTCAGCTGACACATCTCCTCAAAAATTTGATTCTTTGTGAACACTGCAGTACTTCTTACCTCAACACCGACACAATTATTTTAAGCACATTAAGCTTCTCTCATCTATAACGATCATTTAGCCCCTAACAAATAGTTTTTATGGCCCTGAATGAGAGTTTATGTGGATTTTTTTATTCCCAAGTGCTATATCTTTTGCACGAGATAGAAGATAAAGCTGCACCAATGCACTTAAAGGAATAAAAAAAAGGAATATTGAAGCTACATATGCGAAATAAGGATAAAGAGAGTTAGAGGAAGAGAAGGGAGGGGGGTTTTCCGTTGATGCACTTATTCTTTGAAGCTAAGAATATAATGTGGTTAGAGTAGAAGTAATGATGAGCTTTTTCATTCCCCTGGGAGTGATTCAACTTACAAAGCCATATATATCCATATATATTTTTTTCAAAGTGCAAATGATCAGAAGTAGGAATAACCAAAGTTTACATGAAAATGAACTTACCATAGATTCTTCTCGAGATGCCTCCGCCTTACGACGTTCACTACCCGTTTCTTGCGCTACTCAAAATTTCTTTTCCATTCTACTCCATTCTTAGAAGTCAATGATAACACCCTGTTCATCGCATGACCAAGAAACAAGACAAATCAATTTGGATCAATTTATTGTTGAATAACGAAATAATATTCTGAAAGAACATCTGGAAGAAGTTTTCTTGAGCATTAAGCTAATCATCAACATTTCGATCTTTCTAATGTTTCTGAACACGTTCATTGGGAACATTCATCTCACCAACATCATCAAAAACCTTTCACTAATTGAGATTCATCGTTTATTCCTTCCTTCTATCTCTCTCATGTAATGAACACGTTCCTCTATGAACTATTTCAAAATCCACCCTCTCATCCTCTATATTTCACACGTAACTTCAATTGTTTCCTCCATATGTCGGAACAGAGTTGATTTGCTCTCTATTTCTATCTCCTCCCTTTCCCTTCAAGATAATTGTATTCATTTCATTCATCCATACTCTAACAATCCTCCATCTTTTTTTAGAAAGATTAAATGTTGAACTTTCACTTACTTGTCTCATTAATTATGTTCCTTCTTCTACTAACTTCTATGAATGTTGCTTCCAGAATGTGTCTTCTTCAAGTATTCATTGCATTGATTTGTGCTTTTTGTCTGTGATAGACATGCGATAATGAAGACGAAGAACAAAGAGGGTGGGGGGACTCAGCTTACAATTAAAAAAAAAGGTTTTCAGCTATTCAGTTCACTTGTTCCGAACAACTTTACAAGTTTACATTGCATTTTAAACTTTTCGTTGTTGCAAACGGAGTGCTCTCGTAGAAATCTGCTTTTCCTTCCACTTTTTTTTTGGAAAAAAGCTTATAGTTACAATTCTCTCTGAGAGCACAAGCGTCTTTGCAACTGTTCTCGAAATAAAATAAAAAAGAAGGACAGATGTTCGTATGAAGTTTCCATTGAACCCGCATGCAAACGTTTTGAAAATGCAACATTCCACAAAACTTCTTTTATCATTTCATGCCATCCATGCACTTTTCTGAAAATGAACACAATAAACATGCAACATCATTCTATCTCCCTCTTTCGCTCTCTCTCTCTCTCGCCCTCTCTCTCTCTTTCTCCCTCTCTTCATATGACATGAAAAATTGAAATTGAAAAAAAGAAAAAAAATTGTTTCAATCTGTCTGATTGAAAGCTATCATCTCATTTACAATTTCTATTCTCAAAAACAATAATTGGGAAGTGTACTCTCATCATTCTGCCAATCATTGTCTTTTAATTTCTTGTTCACAAAAAAAAAGATTTTCAAGCTCAAAAAGATAGGAATAAAAAACATTTTCATCATCTTATCCGTTTGAATACGTTGAAACTAAAAGAAAAAAAACAGTATTGCTTCCCACTCTTTATGTTTAAACAACGCGTGAGGAGGACTCTCTTTTTCGTTCGCTAAATTTTGTAGATTAAAGTTTGTTCGTAGAATGACAAAGAACTGATATGAGGTTCCAATAGCAAAATAGCCCTCTCTCTGTCATACATCTGACTATTCCTCCAAAAACTTTTCAATCTTCTACATTTCTTAATTCATCATCTTATTACTCTGCTTATACATGAGATCATCGCTGTCTATCAATTGAACATTCATATGAATATCCGAAACATATTATCATCCAATCATGTTGTGTTTCCTTTTCTCTCTCTATACCTCTCTCATTTACTTCACTCTCTCATTTTTTTTATTTAATAATATTTTTTATTATCTGCTCATTATTTTCAAGAAGATTGACAGCAACACCTATTAAGTTCCGCAACTTGTGTTCCAACGATAAGAAATTGATGAAATTAAAGACTTTTTTCTTTTGTTCATTTCACAACTATTGACTGATTCAATCCAAATGGGCGGTGTTCCAGATGATAACTTACTAACCCCCATATGGCTTTTAATATATAAATTAATCACAATAATATTGTAGAACACTAGTCTTTTTAGAGCAAAATGAAAGGGAAATTGTTCATCAAATAAAACAAAAAAGGTAAAACGAAAGACTCAAAAACGGTTTTGTGCTCCATACAGTCTCCCATTACAATCGGTTTTAAGCGGACTATCATGTTGAATACTAATAGTCAATCATTTTCAAAAAAAAAAAAAGAAATAAAACGAAAAGTGTTCGGTTTTGCGTTTTGAATCAATAAACTACAGAATATGAAAACATTCGAATTCTCATATATTCTGATTCATTTCTTTAACTTATATCATATATGCTATTGTTTACAACATGAAATAGTTCCAAATATGATACATCGTTCATGATGAATTTTCAATCAAAATCTTTTTTTTTACTCTTTTTCTCTAATGCTTCATTCTATCCTCTCTTTCTTTCACTCACTCTCTCATTCTCTTTCTCTCTCTTTTCTTTCATTACTATACTTCTTGATTTAGAATGCTCATGATCATCAAATACAATCTTTTCATTTCAATAATAAAAAAAACCTAAAATGCCTTAAAATCAATAACAGTTTCTCTCACATAAAGTTTCGAATGTTTGCTGGACTCTCGAATAACTTTATGAACACACTCACAAGCAAATAGTAACTTGTACGACAATATATAGTTTCAATTGCGTCAAGAAAGTTACAGAATGCTCTTTTAGACGACTATTACAAATCAGTTTTACAGCTCTTATATCTAATAGTTGCATATTATTTCGAAATATTATGTATTTAATTTCAATTGACTACCTCTATGACCATATCTATAATCATATCGTTCACTTGCAGCTTTATCATACGATGGCCACTTAGAGCTTCATCATTAAGACAAAGTGTTTTTTGCAATTTGGTTACTGTTGAAACTCAAACAATACAAGTTTACGAAATAATGTGAGTCATTAGTCAGTCTTACTCTTCTCACTCTCTGAACAACTCTATCTTATAGATATTATGAACAAAAAACAATTATTATAACTCATACTCTCTATTGTCAATATTGAAAGGTAAACATGCCACAGTATTTTACAAACATAACCAACATTACAGGCTTATCTCCCTTGGAAATGGATTCACAGGAGTCATCATCAGTTATAAGATTAGAGACAACATCGTCAACCGCTCTAACAGGTGTGTCACTCAAAGCGTCAAAATTACAAAAAAAACTCGACATGCATGAGATCAGTAGTACAAAGTTCGTGCCATATCATTCCAGCTCAATTCATACCCTTTTATATTTTTTGGCGCGAAAATCACATATTCAAAAAAAAAGATTTGGCAAGAGAGCAGTCTTCATTTGTTTACATGCCAGCTCCACCCCCTCAAACAGCATTTTTGGATCAGTTCCAAAAAAAGAAAACACACAGAACAAAGATATGAAAAAAATGAAAATGCTAATCGTTTCATTGTATGATCGCATTACACACATTTAGATGTGCATTTTGCGCGCCCGTTCAAACAGAGAAAAATTTTTTCAGATAATGAAATTTCGAAATGTGTGCAGGAACACTCATCAACGAATTCAAATGAAGTACGAACAGCTAAAACAAGTATATAACTTTCATAATATTATAATCAATTAACTATATATTCTTATAGATAATTGTACATTAAATCTTGAAGATTGGATAGGTGTAAGAATTTTATTTAGAGTAAGACCCTTAAACTATATTGCTGGTTATATTAAAAGGGTTATATCAACTATTGGAGTTGTTATTGATGTATGACTTAATCCATATTAAGTATAATTCTTATAGTGTTATAGATAAACAATGGTGAAGAACATGTCGTTCATGATGTCACTGATAAAAATTTCTTTTCGCACATTATATCCGATAATGTGGTTTCTATGAGCGCGGTATCTATAGGCCTTCGATTATGACTATTCACCTCTCCTATTTTCTTATAGATTAGAAAAAATGTAGTTGTATGTGTTAAAAATGCCGAGCATGAATGGGGAGTGGCTACTGTCTTAGAATACAATGGAATCAACATCTCATTAGTAAGTATCTTAATTTCATAATTCTTATCAATGATTCATAATTAGATATCCGTTGAAAGTAAAGAGACTTTCACCTTACCTAGATCCAAGATACGATTACTCATGCCTCCGTGGCATGAGGAATTACAACTGTACTGGAATGTTAATCGATTTCTTTGGTAAAATACATACCGTAATGAAAATACAAACAAAAATTGTTTTGTTCAGGAATGATCAGGAAACAATCGTTCCATCCAGCAGTCATCGTTCGAATCCCTTTCAATGCACAGACGAGATGCGTAATGTTTTGGAAACAATCTCTAAAGCGACAATCTTCAAAGAAAGTATTGATGTTACATCCATAAGTAGCGAAGAATCAACTCAAAATATAACGCAACCTGAATCATCCAAGAGCGAAATGACTAGATCAGATCAACATGTAATCGAATCTCCGCCTACAAAAGCTCCTATAAGCATCCAGCAATGTATTCCTAGAAACAATTCAATGATGCAGCCATCACCTATAAGACCAGAAGTGGTTCATCCATTATTTGCACTACAAGATCCATTAGGACAACAGCTTAATTTCAACTCCCAACTCAATATGTTAATGTATTTGCAACAACAGCCTCAGTCATGCCAGATATACCCACGTCATACTAATGTTAATCCACTGATATTCAATAATTCTTCAATCAGTCCGAATAGGAAACAGAGTTTGGGTGAATGGATAGGGTCAGTTTCTTCTATCAATACTTCTTATTTCTTTGTTAATTTAGTACTAATGCTAAACCAAAAGAAACTGTTCATCGTATAGCAACTATACCTATGGAATCTGAAGAAGATATTCAGGTAAGCTCTGAAAGTAAATAATGATAACAATCAATCGTATACTCCAGTTTCCACATAGTTGTTCGAGACATAAAAAAGGTGAAATCGTCACAACTCAGGGAGGAATACGAAAAAAGTTTAACGGCAAACAATGGAGAAGACTCTGTTCAAAAGAAGGATGTAGCAAAGTGAGAAGCTATGACAAGTTGATGTTGACCAAGATATGATTTTCAGGAATCGCAAAGAAAAGGCTTCTGTTCACGTCATCTTTCTCTAAAATCTAAAGTACAAGAACAGAATTTTGGTAATTTGACTATTGCTGCAGGAGAGAAAGGTGAGCAAGGGATATGAAATACAATGATCATATTAATGACAGAGTCTCCTATGCAGATGCTGGAAAGATTACTCAACTTATGTAATTCTAAATGTTAATAAAAACAATGTGCGATTTAGCCGGGTCTCAAATCCTATTTGAAGTGTTCTGATCAATGTTTCCAATGGATTGCTAATGTTTGTTCTATTTAAAAACAAGCTCAAAGCGGTTATTATAAAGATATGTTCCTGATCCTATGCTTAAAGCTATGTATGTAATTATTAGGTCGAGCGAGCCATTTTAGTAACGAATTTCCATATTTTCTTGATCTACGAGGAATATACGCCTTGATGGCATACTTTAAATATTGCATGTCAAAGTTATTAAAATTCCTGAATAAATGATTATCAGACCAATTTGTATTCATCCATTGATAAATCGCAAGAGTATGAAACGAGTCGAGTCATATGAGATAAGATATGTTGTGGTTCTGTTAAAGAGCATCAAGTATCAAAAGTCTAATGAACTTGTATCTCATATTCATTGATTCATCCACTTCCACAAGTTTCATAAACTTTATTTAGAATAACATTAAATAACATGTTTTCATACAAAAAACGGAATAATACGATTATATAAACACACACACACGCACACGCACACAAAGAATAATATAAGAACACAATCCTAATCAAAAATCAGATCAACTACTTCCCTCATATCTGGCATTGGAATTCCTTTAAAAAAGATTTTCATCAGAGTTCTGAAATACATGTTAGCACTTGAAGTTTGGGTTTACTTAATACCTCAAAGTCTTTCTTGGTGATTTCTTTTCTGAAGAAAACTGGTTTGCGGGTTGAAGAGCTCTTTGTTGTTCTAGACTCAGCAAATCCAACACGGTTTCTTCCGAAGTCAAAAACAGTGTAATATCTGGATTAATTAATTTAGTTTCTATCTGATCATGATTGTTAACCTTCCAATGAAAATATCTCCAAGAATCCATAGATCTCCAACAGTCTTAGGGAAGTCCATTCCAATGAATCCTGACAAGCATATTTCTTTTCCAGCAGCTCCAACCTTCATAACGTATTCATGTCCAGCCAAAGTGAAGTTAGTTCCTCCAATAGTGAAAGTCAAGTCTGGTAGAGATGGAACTTTGTCACATGGAATCATGTACTATAATAATAGTATCACTATTGGAGCCTAATTATAATGAAAGTACCTCTCCTTTCATCATTGGTTCAGCACCGATAAACTTCTGAATGGCTTCAACTTGAGCCTTTGGTCCAGCAATCAAAGAAGTTCCGGTGTCAGCAATGGCAGAGCATCCATTATTGCAAGCAATAACATTACCACCTCCACTAACCTAAAGTAATGCTGTAAAATTTGAATTAATTTTTATTCTCATACAGCATCCATTTTGATTTCCCAATATCCTTTTCTGATAACAGGGCTGTAAGTGATTGGCGGTTCGAAATGACGGGTATCAAGTCCGCCGAAAGTAATTTCACCACCAATATCAGATGAAGTATCTCTAAATAAACATTGAAGTTTAAACGTTCCATATGAGTCTACCAACCTGTTGAGCCAGAAAGCAAACAAATTCTGAGAAACTTTCTTCTGATCGAATAGCGTGTTGAAAACTGGTTCCACTCCTGACAATTGAAAAATCAGCTGCGTTGTATTAGCTTATACAATACCCAAAACGGCAATTTCGGGATAGGCCATTCCGAGAATTCCATCAAATTTGGCAAACAAGAAGGTTAGGCCTGGTTGGTTAGTTGCTTCGGCGAAAGATTGATTTTGAGCGCAGATTCCAGCAACCTACACAAAATTTGTTGAAAATTTTCATGAATCTTGCAACTTACGCAAACGGTGTCAATGGAAATGAATCCTTTCATTGAGCCAGTTCCATATTGAATTGCCATTTTTCTTCCATCAGGAGTATAGGAAAGAGATGCGTCAGAATCATAACGATGATGTAAGACTGAAATTGAGTTTTAAAAATAAGTCAACTAATTACAAGACATACGGCAAGCAATATCAAGCCATGAGCATTTTCGTGAAGGAATCCAGAGATTAGAAGAACCAGTATCGAAGATGACGGTGAAGTTTTGAGGTGGGGTTCCGATCGAAATTTCTCCATAGTATTGGGCCTTAAATAATAGAAGTCTTCTGAATGAAAACAGACTTATAGGTCTTACATCCATGTAGTTATGAAGAAGTTCATCAATTTCAGTATCATTAGGGACATCTCCAGCGTTGTACTTCTTCAGCAGAGCAGTTCTACGGAGAGATTGGATCAACAAGTAGTCTTCAAGTCCGCCACTCTTGGCAAGGTATTCTCGAAGAGGTACATTGCGACGTAAAGAAATTCTGTAAGAAATTCTCTTTTTAAAACCCAATGATCGCAAGGTATAATTACCTGTTGATTGCAGGTTTAATACCAACGCGGTAGTGTCTTGCTTCAAGCAAGGCACATATAACTAAGACGAGAGCGAGAATTGCGAAGCGCATCTTCACAAGTTGTTCTCAGAGGTGAACAAGCAGCCGTACTCGGAAAGCTGCAGCGGAAGAATGATTTAGCGATTGCCGATGTGATTCGAGATTGGTTCAGCCCTCTCGGCACTGACCTCTCTGTATCTATAAATCTCTAGATTGTTAAGTATCTCTAGCAATAGTGGGAGGAGATTAGATTTTTCCAATACATCTCTTAGATAACAAAACAAGAGAGAACAGGTCAAAAAACTTATAAATTCAACATGCTTGCAAGAGAAACAGGCCTACAAAGATAAAAAATATAAAAATCAGTGTTTAAAAAAAAATTTGTTTAAAAATTCAAAAGTTTTTTTCAACAAGATAACTATTTTCTGTGAAAATGTAATCAACAACAGTCTAATGATGACAAAATCAAAGTAATGTATTGATTGAACCAGAAATATGGGAGATCAAATGGAAAAACAAGCTCAAGAAACATAAACTATCCGGGTAAAATGTCAAGAGAGCTATGAGATCGGCATACATCACAAGAAAAGAATATACAAATATGTTCTATGTAAGGCTGATTGCCTGTGATTAGAGCAGTCATACTGGCATTGCCAATGAGTCAGATTCTCAAATACTATTTTGGCGGGAAAACTAGTGAGGTCATTGAGCCTTTGGCACAAACAAACAAAAAATTGACTCATGGGTAGATCAAAAGATTATACCGCATAATTTTTAGCGTTTCATGAAAATTGTATGTGAGTCAAGGTCAACAAGAAAATCTGAACAGTCATTAAATTGGGAGATTAAAGGGAAGTTCACAAAAGATGACTGACATCTAATAGGTAACAATTGAATTCGGCAAACTACAATTGGTCAGTTATATTTCCAAAAAACGTCATGTGAACTGCAAACTTGATATAAATGGTAGATTAAGCGACAAGATCAAATAAGTAGAAGAACTTGAAATGCAACTACCTATAAGGTCACTCAATCGCAACAATCTTCCTTTTTTTTTCGACAATTTTTTTTCTCGTATTTTCTAGATTAGCCAATTTGTTTTTTTTGTCAGATTCAAGTGGACTTCAGCATTCAAACTTGAAAAGCAACTGACAGCTTGATTATTTCCGCAATGATATTTTTTTCGAATACACAGATGTTTCTGGGTTTGAGAAGAGTTTAAAAAAGATTCTCTCCAAGCAAAGCCAAAGTGCACGTCAGCTGTCTGGGGGGTAGTTTAAAAAAAAAATTTTTTTTCAAAAATTTTCTGTGTGGCTGACCTATTTTTTATTGTGATTTGAAGAAAAAATCTCTATCTCTTTACAAAAAATCCATTAAATCTTGTGAGGTTTGGCAGCGAAAAAGCAAAGTTCAGATAATCTATTGTTTAAGTTCACAACATTTGTTGTAAGCCATCTTGTGATCAATGGCGTGATCAGGCCGGCATTGTTTAAAAGTCAAATGTCATACCATTTTCTTTGAATCTGTGCCGTTTTCTATCCTCCTCCTCATTGTGTTGTAAAAAAGCTTTTGACTATCTCAAATGTCTGAGTCTGCTAGCGTTTGATCTGGGGGATAAAATTGTAGTTTAAGGACGGCAGATGATTTCTGTTGTCTATCTTCATTGCTATATTTTGAAAGAGATTCATAGGAGGTGAAGAGACAGAGACAATTGAATAGATGGGAACAAAAAAATGGCGTCCAGACGATAGATCGTGCGCCAGCAGACATGTCGAAACGCATCGTATTTCTTGTTATTTTCACCAGGTGCCTCATTCAATGTACTTGCCTGTTGTTTTATTGTGTAACAGAGCGTCTGCTAGTAAGCGTAATCGCTTCAATCGCTTACGTACCGTTTTTTTCTTAGAGGGGTCATCTTCTACAATCATTTCATCTTTGCTGACTACATAATCGCAGCAGAATTAAAACAAATAACACTGAAGAAAGATGTTTACTACATAGAAATGAGAAGAGAGACAGATATTTTTTCTTTTCGTTTAAACATTCACGAAGATACAATCATTTACATTTTCAGCTATTCGTTTAAATTTATGAAGGGCTATAGAAGAAGAATATGTAAAGATCAGAGATATAATAGGATAACCCTTGATGAATATCAATAGTTATGGTTAACTGATGAAGAGTATATGGATGACAATGACAGTATTTAGAGAGAGACGGGAGAGGGAGAGAAAGAGAAAGAATACACTTTGTAACTGCTCTGAGAAACTATTTTGTTATAATAATTAAATTAAAATAACACTAAGATCCAAAGAAACGCATAAACTCAGCAGCTTGATGTTTTCAATTATGCTAAGCTTAGGATGTTTAATGTTGACATTCCAGTATATTTTAATGTCGTTTTATCCTTAAAAGACATCAGAAAGTACATTCTGTAAGAGAATGATAGAGAGTGAAGGAAGGTTGTAGAGAAGCTATAGAAATCCTTATATGCATCTTTAGCTTTGTGAATATTATATGAAATTCTTGATTAAAAAAGATAGTTAATACAAACAAATGCGTCAATTAACACAATGCAGATAGTTCCAAGAGGCATATTGGATTATTATGTGTCGAGAAGATTGACAGTGTTGGTGGTCGTGCCATTCTCTTCGGGAAGAGAACCATATCCTCCTGGGCTAATACTCGAGTAATTAGATTGTTGAGTTCCACTGGTACTGGCTAAGCGAGCTTCATTCTGTTGTCCTCGTTGTGGCTCAGTTGAAGCCTTAAAGAAAAAATGTAATTGAAACTCTATCCATTCAATAAGTTAAATAAGAGATATCAATTACGCACCGTACGGCTTCCAGAGTTATTGGAGTGCTGGGTGTATTGTTGATATTGAGGATGGAAGTTATGAATGGCGTCTTGCATAATATCCTTTGGGTTCATTGTTTCTTTCAATGAAGAGCTGATGGATTGTAATGTAACTGGTCGTCCATCATTCACACTCGTCGCTAAAACATAATATATAAGATATCTGGAATAAATTGGAAGAATCTCATTACCATCCCCGGTTGCATAAGCTGAAACTTTAAATGCAAACTTCAAGGCAATGGAAGCAAAGAACATTTCTATGCAAATGAAGAAGTTTTGCCAGGCAGCAGCAACGGTTCCTTTAAATATTTTTGCATTTTATTATTTCAACGTCATTCACACCAGTATTGACAACGGTGTTTCCAGCAGAATCTTTAATAGGGTCGATTATATCCATAGCTCCAAGAACAGCGAGAAGGAATCCTTCAAATATGATGTCATAAAAAAGTTTCTCTTTAATGATACTTTACCTTGCCAGAAAGAGAGGAAAATGACGCTTTTCACTGTCAAGAATTTCAGAACAGGGCTATATGGTGAGAGAAGTTCACGGGTAGCAGTGTAGAAGAGGAAAAGTCCGTAAAGAGCCAATGATATGGAAACATTATAGACCAATGTTGTCCACAAATATCCTTGGTCAGGGCTAGAAAAATATAAAATTTATTGTTGATCCTGAAATGGAGATATCTGAACCTCCAATTTCCGTCTTCATATTTGCCCAGTCCAGTCAGGAGAAGAGTCAAAGCTGCCATTATGGGTTTGATGAAGCAGAATTGAAGAGTAGCCTATTGAATATGCTCATTACTAAACTGAACTCTTCTTATAATGAACCTGTTTGCAAAAACGAAGGAATTCAATGGTATATTGTTTTCCAGCTAAGCAGCATGTGAATGTCCAGTAATTGGTCGGCCTAATCAAAAGGAAATGGTCTTTGGCTGAGAGATATTCATGTTTACTTGATTGGTTTTCCACGGATTTCAGCCATAATGTTACTCTCTCCACCCAGATATTCATAACATAAGGAGAGGAAAGAATAAATTACAAAAGCTATGAGACAGTTAATTATAAGACTATTGATCACTTATCTTACCTTCATAGCAGTCACGTAGAGAGTTGAAGAATATGTAAACGTTATCTGAGAAGAATATTAAGCTTAGCCATGAATCAAAAGCATAGATTGGAACGATGAAGAGAATGCGAACGATCCAACGTTGTTCTGTTGGACATGAATACCATCTCAGATGTTCGTATATCTATAATAATATATAATATAATTATTATATATAATAATATAATTAATGACTTGATGACTTGTTATCAATAGAGCAGCCCACGTGCAAATACCAGCCAAGCCTTGAGCAAAAGCGGTACGTACGAAGCAATCACCGTCAGTATTGTTCAACATTCTATTTTCATACCGTTTACCCTGAAACAATTCATATTCATTTATCAAGTTGAATATATAAAGAGAGTAGATGCGAATGTCAATCACACATATACATATAAAGACAAACACACAGATTCAATTCAATTTAGAAGTGCATTACACACACAATAAAATGAAAAAAGCGACAGTAATACAATTGAAACATTAGCATTTAATTGAAAAAAAAGAAAAACGTAATTAAAGTGTTGAAATACGGGAAAAGGAAATCGATTAGTGATGATTTGAAGACTATAGGGGGATGAGATAGCAAGCTGGTATACTCGTTTAATTAAAATCTCGTCGAGACAAGATCTCCAAACGCGACAAGAAAAATGTCGAGCGAATCGCTCATCTAATGCTATTTGAAAAAGATTGGTCACTTTATTGCTCTAATTTGAGAATGCAACGCAATTCAAACCCAAACACGAATTCCAATATATTTGAAATGAAAAAAAAAGAGAAATGTATAAGCTTGTCGCCTTGAAATGTGTTATTGCTGTTAGTAGTAATAAAATATTTCATTCATGATTCGTTCGAACTACTGAAAGCAGGTGAAAAAAAAAAGAAGGCGCAGGTCTTCAAGAAATAGAAATGACGGCGGGGCAATCGATTGTGATTGAAGCAAGTTTTTCTTTCATTTTTTTAGTTTAAGTCATCATCTCCTTGTTCAAACGTTCAATATTGGTACGTCATGGTTAATATTGAAACTAGAATATGATGAAGAAAACCGATAATATTCGTTCAAAAAGCTTATATAATGGGTATTCATTCAATATGTAAATGACAAATTCAATAAAAATTTTAAATGAAAAATTGAACGAATAAAAGTGAATGGTATCGGTGAAGAAAGGAAACATACAAAGATGGCGAAATAATATTGAATTCCAGAAGAGTATTGCGACCAAAGCCGGCGCTGCCGCTCAAACAGAACCAGACATAATAGTCATCATTGACAACTCTGCGTCTCTGACAATTGAGTCCGTCCCTTCAGACAATCGATATGCGCGTTGACAACAATGCTCACTTGATGTGTTTATACCCTTTAAACGTCAAAAAAAAGGAAAAGAAGACGAAAGAAAGGGACTTTCAAACTGCAAAAAAAACTTTCTAAACGACTGACGTTTGCAGTAAACAGGATGGCTTTCTTAATGGTATACTGGTGTCGTGTTGATTTTTTCAACAAAAAAAAAGAGAAAAAGAATAAGAAAATAATATTTTTAAATTCGTAAATAGAGCTTTGAACACAATGTTGAAATGGTAAGTGTTAGTCATTTGAATAATAAAATATGAATTCAATTCTTTATTGAATGAATAATTAAAAGATAAAATATGCTTTATATCTATGAATATGTGAATGGTACAGACAGCTGGAGGAAGCGGGGGGAAGGCGATATGAATCATCAGTTTTTTTTGTTAAAATAAGAAAAAAGTTAAGCAATTGTTTACTTGAATGAACGGCATTGTTGAATTTCGAGATTTCATTTCGACATTTCTCGTACTCTCTCGTCTGTACACATGCATACACACACACAGACACACATATATCCTAAATGTATTTCGAAACGCATAAAATATATTGAAATAAGATGAAATGGCTTCGAATTTATATATTTTTTTTTATAAAAACAGAACAGCTCTTCGTCTATTCATATTGAAGAGTGAAGGAGAACAAATAACTAATTAGATGCAAAAACGAGCAGAGATCATCATGAGAATTATACGGTAGTTAAAAATATGGAGAAGCGTGTAGATAGAAAGAAAGAAAGAAAAAAATGTTATAGTCATGTGCAGAGAGAGAGAGAGAGTTAAAGTGTTAGAGAGAGTGTTAAAGATGGAGAGAAATAAAATTATTTGTAGTATGGTGGGGCAGAGCAAGTTCAACTAAGTCACTTTTGAATATATTTTGGTGTTTACGGTAAACAACATAAGGAACGGAAGATTATGCAGTGTGAGAAATAGGAAAAACGCTCTTTACGCGTCTTTCTATACATATTGTAGTTTATACTTATATGCATGCGTCTATGAGTTTGTTTTTTTTAGTGATTGGCCCTCATGGCCCGTTCTGTCAGCATCGCACTCTTAACCCATCTCCTCCCCATCTTTGTGTATTGACCTGCTTTTCATTCATCATTGTAGAACTGTCTAGGTTTGTCAAGTTTGAATGACTTCTCACTTAATAGCACCTCGGAAATGTCATCTTTCACCCAAAAAGATAGAAATGAAAGAATAACTTTCTCCATTCGAAACTTAAAATCGAGATTTTACTTCAGTTTATCAAATCTTTTTTTCATTTCATCTTCATCGTTCATGAGATAGAAGAACAAATGATAATTGTTTTTTTTGTTTCTCCTGTTGATAAAGCCATTTCTTATCAGATCTCTCACATTAACATTATCAGATTGCTCGTAGATTGGAAAAAATAATTTTTTTCTGTTACCTTGTGTTTAACTCAGCTGCTATCTATACTATACTGAATATAATATGTTATAATTGATAAGTTGATGAGTTTTTTCCTTTTTTTTTTGGTTCATTTTTTCTATTCTGCATCTGTCAACTGAAAATCAAAATGAATGAAAATTGAAAATCTATCAGAATCTAGAGCTCAAAAAGACTTGTTCCACGGCTTTTTTTTTCTGTCTAGGCTGGCTCAGCCTCAGACGAGAGTGTGGGACAGGTGCTAGAATCGGTAGCTCCTTTTTTCGGCTTCGTTCCATATATTTACTTCCAACACTAAAAAAAAATCTAAAAGAGGCTACCGAGTTAGCTCAAAGCCAGCCATGACTAAAACTACCATTTCTTTAAGAAAACTTTAAAAATTTAAAAATTTTAAGAAATTTCGAAATATTTTGGATCAAAAATACATATAAAACAACTGTTTCTGTAGAGTCTGTCACGTAGGGTTTCACGTAATTCATAAGACGTGATAGATGGGCTCAGAATAGCTTCCCTATCAAATTGAACAATCGATCAAGTTGTGAAGAGGGAGGAAAGGAGGCTGGAAGAGTAGAAAGAGGAAGAGACTGGGAGCCAAAAAGAGAGATTAGATGTTCATAATCAACAGTGACGAAAGTTAATATCATTTAAACATTACAAATTCTATAGCTGCAATTGATTTTTACAAATGATTAGTCTCAAGATAGTACGAGAGAGTATGAGAGAGAGAGAGAGAGAGAGAGAGAGAGAGAGAGAGTAGGACTACTTTTGAACTAAAGTGCATGAAGGTTTGCGATTAAACATTAACAAGAGATATTGCTAACTAGAAATAATGAAAATCTTTCTAATTAATTCTTCTTTTTTTTTCTACAAAATTGCTTCCAGACTGATTGTTTTATTCAAACTTTTCAATTTATTTCTGCCACAAATCCTCCGCTTTCAATTTCATTCGTCATGAAAAATTGGATTAGTTTCAATCTTTCCCCCCCCACACGTTTGGTTTTTTCTCATTCAGAACGAAACCAAAAAAAGGAACAAAAAGTGAAGAAATGCAGATGAATTCTCCTGCATACAATGTTTCCACTTCTTATAAATCACTATCTCTTATGAAATGAACGACCTTCGCTGTGATGACATTGATTTCTATTATAATCCACTTTTCAACCAATCTCTCATAAGACTCTCCTTTTCTTCCGCATTATGTTTCTTTAAGCAGTTTCATTGGTGTGTGTGTGTGTGTGTATATTATACTTCAATATGTTTATACATGTTCCTATACTATCTTCCATATACCATCTTATACAGAAATCAATAAGTCTTTTTCTGGATTTCAACAAAACATTCCTCTCTCTCTCTCTCTTTCAATCTCACACCCTCTCCTCACCTCTTTCTCTCTCCTTTTTAAGAAATTTTTTTTTCTCGCTACGAAAATCGTAATTTCATTGAATTTCTAGACAATTTCGTAATTTTTATATAAAAAAAGAAGTTGCCCGCCTATTCATTATTCTTTGAATCGATCTGACCTACGCTATTGAATGAATACTGTCTGTTTTTGACCTTGAATTAGGTCGCCGACAGAGAATTATTGATTAGATCAAAATACAGGACGCTTTGAGTGCTGTTTGTTCTGTTTCGCAAACGATTCGGCACTCGAAAACGCTTGTTTAACTTATATTTTTTCGTTGAAAAATTACCCGAGAAAGAAAAAAATTGATTTGACTTTCATTATTATTCTATTAACTATAATATGTCTCTATATAATATATTCAATGAATTATATATAATTATATTACAGAATTTTCTCATAAATATATTTATAAATGCTCAAGATCTCATTAAGCCGGTATCCTATTGTCTTCATTATTCTATTGATTATTTTTGGGCCAGTTACTGTATTTACTACACAAGCTAGTTTTAATTTGGAAAAGGTTGTTAATTGATTATATCAGGTTTTCTAATGTGGGACATATCCGCTTGTGTTTTAGTCAGTTTCATCATCATCTTGCGATCGTCATTGCTTTAATGGAGTTTGCTTGAATGGAACATGCGTATGCGCTAAAGGATGGACAGGGGCACAATGTGATCATTGTTTTGGACGCTTGCTGTAATATAATATAGTTATTAATATATTATAATGAAATTTATATGTTACAGTATGAATCAGAAGCAAAGTCAAATAAGTGATGGTCCTCTTTCATATAGTTCATCAACTAAATGTACATGGATAATAAAAAATGATCAGGTTATTAACTATATGATATATAAGTTATATAATATGATAACAATTGAAGAATTTCACTGGTCCGTTAAATATACGATTAGATAGCTTTCAAAGTGAATGTGGTTGGGATTATTTATATATTTATGATGGTGATGGAGTTGATGGTCAACAGTTAGCCGCTTTCAGGTATTCTACCTATATAATATAGGCAATTCAACTATATATATATATTTAGTGGAGATTACCATTATCAAGAAATATCAGCCCCTTCGGGTCAAGCTCTTATTTATTTTACAAGTGATCTTGCTATTAATTTGGACGGGTTTAACATATCATATGAATTTAACAGGTAATTATATATATGATATAGTATAATTATTTTACTTTCTCTTCAGGTGTTTATATAATTGTTCATCTCATGGAAATTGTGAAAATGGTATATGTTTATGTGATGATGGATATACTGGTATGTCGTATATTGATCTATTTTTATCTATTTGACTGTTTAAGGTGAATACTGTCAAACAGTAGGATGTACTTTGGAATTGGAGCAATTCAATGGTCCATGTCTTAATAATGGTAAATGTGAAGAAGGGAAATGTAGTTGTCCTCCAACACACCATGGTATGTGTCATATGGATTGAAATCAATTGCTCATACTTGAATGCAGGGAAGTATTGTGAAGCTGAAAAAACAACTCATGTTTGGGAAGAATTAGAAATCAAAGCGTCTAATCCTGGAAGAGCTTCGCACGCATCTGTCTTAGTAGATGATGTTGTTTGGACAATAGGAGGAACATCTTTTAATGGAGTTACTATTGAACAAGTCGTCACGTTCAACTTAACATCAGAAGTGCTTACAACGATAGCTATAGAAGGATCTGATAAACCAAGGCTACGACGAGATCATTCTGTTGTTCGCTACAAGGTTTGAATTTTCACTATGACCAAACACGACACAATGTACATGTTTTCAGAATAAGATGTACATGTTCGGGGGCTTTTTCGATTCTCATGAAACAACTGGAGAGCTATGGGTCTTCGATATGCATACGCGCGTATGGCAATTGGAAAATTCAGCTGATGGAAATATAACAGTATCTATTCAACAACATTATCATTATACTACGACTATGCATATATAGATGGCACCTCTAGCTGTTTCTGGTCACACAGCACATGTGATAGGAACAGAGATGTATGTATTTTTCGGATATCATAACATTCTCGGATTCTGTTATGAA